CTTGAAACTAGAATATATAAAGGACTTAATAAAAGGCAAACAACTCAATTTAAGAAATGGGCCTGAATAGACATTTCTCCACAGAAGACAAGAAGCACACGAAAAGATGTTCAACATCATTAATCATCAGGGAAATGCAAATCAAAACCATAATGACACACCACTTCACACCCACCGGGACGGGTGTTACAAAAAAGACAGACAATAGTAAGTGTTGACAAGGATGTGGAGAAAATGGAACTCGCATACATTGCTGGTGGGATTGTAAAAGGGTGTGGACATTTTGATATAGTCACCATATGACCCAACACTTCCACTCCTAGGTATGTATTTCTCTTGGCAAGAGAAATGAAAATATACTGTCCATGAATGTCCACAGCAGCATTACTCATAATAGCCAATAGTAGAAACAACCCAACAATCCATCAAATGACGAACTGATAAACTACAGTACATATTCACAGGATGGAACATTATTCAGACAAAGAAGGAGTGAAGTACTGATATATGCTACAACATGGAGGAGCCTTGAAAACATTACGCTAAGGCAAAGAAATCAGTCACAAAAGGCCACATATTGTGTGATTCCATTTATATGAAATGTCCAGAACACGCAAATCACAGAGACAGGAAGTAGGTTAGTGGTGGCCCAGGGTTGATAGGACTGGAGCAGAATGGGGAACAACTGCTAATGAACATGGGGTTTCCTTTTTTAGGATTTGTTCTGAAATTACAGTGGAGATGGCTGTGCAACTCAGTGAATGTACTAAAGCCCACCGAATTGTACTCTTTAAAAGGCTGAACTTTATGGAATGTGAATTGTACTTCAAAAAAACTGTTACTTCAAAATAAGTCACAAGAGCATCACCTACTTTGCAGGCATCAATTTTTAATTAAGGTGCTTCTCCAATGGGCAACTCCATACTCTAAGCTTCGAGGGAAGGCCTGTTTAATATAATACGCACCACAGAGACCAGAACTACAAATAAAGGAATTTAATTGTAAAGTTGAAAATGATTAAAGTTCTGATTCATTTTTACAGAAAATGATTACGTAGCAACATTAGTCTCTTACTTACTTATTCAAAGACGGTAAAGCTGCTGAGTAATCAGCCCTGGACACTGAGCTCTGAGCGTGGCTCGCACTCAGCCTGCTGCTGGCTCAGCGTCACCGCCCTGAGCAGAGCTGTGCCCCTCGTAGCCCCACCTTCCTGACCTCCCAGCTGCCTTCAGCACGTTGCTCACCCCTCCTCCTTGGTACACTTTCTTCCCTACTGAGACTCCACCTCCTTGGGCCCTCCTCCCCATGTGCTCACTCTGCACAGTCTCTCCAGACACCACAGTGCAGCCCTGCGTCAGCCGGGCGCTCACCAGTGGCTGCCCCCTCTCACCTCGTCTAGCAGAGATGGCCCCTGGCCCTCCACCCGCCCCAGGGCTGCTCAACGCCGCAGCCACGAGCCACAGTGGCTGCTGACACCCAAGCTGATGAGAACGACGACATCACAAGGAGATTCCCTGCACCAGCCGCAGGGCAGCCAGACAACATCTGCGCCATCGCAGCAAGCTCCTGCAGAGGGTGCAGCTCTGGGTCACACCTGCTCATCAGCTCTTCGCTGTGCCTCTCCCAGGATTCCAGGCCAACCCCGTCTGGCTCTTTACCCACGGACACCTCACCGAAGACTGCTACCCTATCTTTGAACGCCGACCAAACCATCCAGCCATTCTTCTCTGGAACTTGTGCTTTCTCTAGAGATCCTCTCTCTCCTTCCCTCGGGAGCCAAGCCGGCTGAAAAGGCCACCGACACTCTTTCCACCTGTAACCCTTCCATTTCCTTTACCTCACCCCAAAGCAAACTCATGTCTATCGTGCCACCCCACTAAAGACATCACCAACGACTACCCCCCTCATGTCCACCAGCTGAGGGATGGTTACATTAAATGTGGTTATACCCTACAACAGAATATTAACTGGCAATAAAAGGAATGAAGTACTGACACATGGCACAACTTGAGTGATCCCTGAAAACATGCTAAGTGACAGAAGCCAATCACAAAAGGCCACACATGTTATGATTCAATTTATAGGAAATGTGCAGAATAAGGACACAAATAAGAGACAAACGGTACCTTAATAGATTAATTAATAGTAGAATAAGAAACAAAAAGTAGATTAGTGTTTGCCTAGGTCTTGGGGGTGGGAAGGGAGGAGTAACTGTTAATGGATACAGGTGATGAAAATGTTCTAAATCTGTAGTGATAGCCGTACAAATCTGTGAATGCACCGAAACCGCTGAACTGTACTTTTTTAAATGGGTGAAATGCATGGTTTGAGAATTCTATCTCAATAAAACGTTACAAGGAAGAAACACCCAGAAAACAAAAACTTGCTGATAAATCCAGTGGTCACGTTTCAGTCCTCAGCTGACCTGACCTCACAGCATGACGCTAGGTGATCAGGGCACCGTCACTCAGGACCGGGTTGCTGTCCTCGTCTCTAAAAGCCATTCTCCGCATGGGTTCCACAGGGTCTCCCTAAAAATGTACAAAGTCTGTCACCTCAGCCATTTGCTGAACACAGTGGTTCTGCACGGCCCACGGGATGAAGAGCCAACTTGTCATCACGGGACACACCGGCCCTTTATGGTCTGGTTGTCGGCTGGCCCCCCGGCAGGGCCGGCAAACCTGTCCTGGAAAGGGCCCAGCAGCACGTACTTCAGCACTGCTCAGCTCTGCCCCCGGGGAAAGCAGCCACAGACAATATGGAAATGATATTCCAGTGAAGCCTTTTTTTCAAAAAAGAGAAGACGAACAAACAATAAAATAGGCGGGTGGACTTGCTCAGGGGCCGCAGTGTGCCGCCCTTAGTTTCAGGCTGCCGCCTCTGGTCACTCCTTCGACTTTCAGAGGCCGTACTGATTACAGCCCTTGTGTTACAGCCCAGCCCGTCTCTAAAAATGTGCTGGATAGTAAATATTAAATATCAGGCGTTCCTACTCTACTACTGCAAACAGGGGAAATAAAAATGCATTCCTAGACGATCCAAAAACCCTAACAAATTCCCCCAAAATACCACGAAAAATGTTTACCTATCTGTATAACAACACACCCAGGTTCCTGGGCAACATAAAGCATGAACTTCATTTATTATCAATCTCAGTAGTTAGTGGCCACGGTGTGTGCACTGTGCACGATACTTTACAGAACCAGGGAGAAGTTACATCTTCCTTCTATACTGCAAGAAACATCCCAGTATGAAGAGAAACGGGAACTAACTTGAGGAAGGGATCTTCTGAACTGGGCCCGGTGCCTGGCAGAAGTGGGTGCTGGGAGCCAGGAAGGGGGCAGAAGACATCTCCTCACCCTGACGAGGCGGGCTGGCCAGGAGGCCCGAGGCTGGACCGCAGCACTCACACGATCCTCCCACCTCCACCCGCTAAACACTGCAATGGGCTGCTGACTCAGACGGTGGACTTGGGATAAAACTTTTTGTCTGTCGTGACCGTGAGTACTTGGTAGTTAGTTTGAGTACCGGGGAATCCCTGCGCACGTCCCCAAACACACCATGCTCTGTAAGTTACGACTGGTGGAATGAATTCATTCATTCATTCATTCAAAAACCAAGAATCATTCATTTTCAATTTCCTATGGGAATAACCAGATGATTTTTCCACCTCACTTGCAACAGCTGGGCATAAGTTTCAATTACTGATTTTAGTGGGATACTTGCCAGCCACATCCTGTTAGGATTAGTAACTATCAACACTATTTAAGTGCAAAGAAGCAAACAAAATAACCTTATATGTAAACGTTTCCGTAACTTAAAATGCTAGTAATCAATTAAAAAGAAAAAGAAGAAGAATCCCTTTCTTGGGGGACTGGGCCCGAGCTGTGGGGAAGAGCCCCTCCCAACGTAACTGGAGCCCCACCTCCTACGCCCCGCCTATGGCAGCCCACAAGCTATGCCACGGTCTGAACGTCTGCGTTTCCCCCAAACCCCACACACTGTGATGGCGTCAGGAGGTGGGGCCCCTGGTGCTTAGGGCACGAGGGTGGAGCCCTCGTGAATGGAATTGGAGCCCTTGCAAAGAAGCCCCACGGAGCTCCCTCGCCCCCTTCTGCCATGCAAAGACCCACGGAGCAGGCACCAGCTCTGAACCAGGAAAGGGGCCTCCACCAGATAAAACCACGTGGTGCCGTGATCTCAGACGCCAGGCTCCAGAACTGTGAGAGGTCAATTTCTGTTGTCTGTAAGCCACCCAGTCTGTGGGATCTTGTTACAGCAGCCTGAACAGACTAAGGCCAGCACTGCTCTAGTTCAACAGTAAGTGGGACTGGCCTCGGTGGGTACCTTCGTCCTGCTCTGACTCTAATGGGAAGGTGTGCTTTGAAAGTTTCACCATTAACTAGGAAGTTTCCACTACGTTATATAACTAAATTTTCCTTTCATTTACTATAAAGGGTAAGGTGTGCTTGTATAGATGGTGTATACCATCAGATGTAACTTTCTGGTTACTACAGCATTACCGTAATATCCTTAAGTGGCCAATTTTCAAGAATCTGCATACAACATATGTAACACAAACTACACTGAGTAACTATGGCCTTCCACCTCACAGCACTTTGAAAATTTTATAGAACCTTAAAAGAATCACTTTTAACACTGATTATCAACAAGAGCAACTGTGAAAAGACAAAATATTTACAGCACTCATACCTATGCTAGCAGATAAACAGAATTTTATGTGTATAAACAGAATTTTATATCATGCTTCCCATGTTTTCTACACTCTATCAATAATTTTTAAATGTACGTAACTGTGTATGAAATGTATAATGCTATAAAGCAGTTATTATGTAAGAAAACACGATTCAGGGGTTCATCAAAACTACTTAAGCAATTCTGAATAAAGACCTTCAATGAAACAGGCGGTAACCACACAGAAGCACCGAATTTCCTCACCCCGTGGTCTGAGATCCGTTTTGACATAAAGTTTACTTTACCTTTCCAAGCATCCTGCCCAGGAAGTAGTAATGTCTGGCAAAGGACTCCCCCACAAGCATCTGGGCAGCTGGGTTGGGGTACAGCAGCCCTTCGTTAGTGGTCTTAAAGAAGCCCTGGTTGGGGTTAAACCCCGACTTCAGTAGTTCATTTAGAAACTCTCTGAAAATACCACCACCGTCAATGCCAGCTTCGTCCAGGCCATGTGCATTGAGTAAGTGCACACGGATCCGCTTTTTCAAATCAGGCTCTGTTAAAAGAGGGGGGATGGGGCAAGGAGAAAATATTTTTTTAAAAAGCAATAAAATAAGCTGGTATTACAGGAAGTTAGGTAAGGGGAGCAAGAATATTAAAAATATTTTAATGCAAGACTTAAAAAAAAAATCAACATTAAAAAGAGACAATGAGACAGAAAAAAAAAATCAACATTAAAAAGAGACAATGAGACAGACTGACCAGTATTTCCCTCAGAGCCCACAATGGGAAGAAGAGAGACGTTCCTTTGCACTGATACTGACAGACCAAGAATGGAGTGAGGCGGGGGAGGTGTGTTTGGCAGAAAGTACAGTTATCCCACATATGCTAAAGGATGTAACAAACTCAAATACCAGGAAGAGGGGAATGGAATTGAGGACCTAAGGATAATACTGGAACAGAAAACTATCACCAAGAAAGGCAAAAAGATAAACGAACAAAGCAGATGTCAACGAAGTTAACATTACAAAGACCCTTGGAAAGAGGCGCAGGACACGAGTCAGAACACCAGAAGCTACATCAGTTAAAACGATGTTTGGCTGAAAAATGGGGGAAATTTTTGGTTACATAATGTGCCACAATATGCAATTTTTAAGTTGCCTAAGTCTGCCTGACATGTGAGGGGCATTTCCACACAGGTCCTCATAAGGACAGCACTGAATAGTAGGGATGCCAGGCCCCGGACTTGACTCACTTGCAATGAATACAATAGCCTCCGACACAGGCTTCAGGGCACAGGCCCCAAATATGGGCCAGTAGACGTGATTCTACCACAAGTCAAAACCAGGGGCTCCCTGGCTTAATCAGAGAACAGGTCTGACAAAGTAACTGACACGTCCTTCACCGTTTCCCACCAATGTCCTTCAGGTGCTTTGCACATCAAGAGCCGCAGGTGGAGGGCAACTGAACCCAGGTCGCAGGGCTGCACCCGGGTCTGCGCTGCAGCTGTCTTTCCGGCAGTGTGCAGTCGCCCACACGTATCTGACCCAAAGCATCTCAGGGGACAGGTGACCTCTAGAAAACACCCCGGAAAGGGGTTTAGCAGAATGTCGGTTCAGCTGAACCCCAGCACTGTGATGTGCGAGTGTCAGTACTGAGGTCACAGGACCTGGGGTGTGAATATTCTATACTACCCTTCAAACAGGGCCGACAGTTTAACGTGTGGACTGAGGCCCACGGCGCCTGCACAGGAGAGGGCCGCCCACCCATCCTGCCACAGGGACAAAAGCTGTGCCTGGCGAGCTCTCCTCTAGGGCAGTGCAGTGCCCACACCTCCCTCAGGAGTAAACAAACCCGACCAGAGGCGGCAGCAGCGTCCTCTTGCGCTCGTGCTTGTCAGGGAATAACCACCGCTGACGTCTACCCCGAGCTGGCAGAACTCACGCCAGGAATTTCACATACATTAATCACTTCCAACCCTTTAACAACCTCTGGGTTAAGAATAATCCCCATTCTCGTGTGAGAAATCCAAGGACAGGGAAGGTTGAATGATTTACCCAAGGACATACAGCTAATATTGTAAAGGGTAGTACTGTAATTTTAAAACATGTCTATTACCTACAAAGCATAGGTTCTTTTCTACTAAAACACATTCTTTTATTTTTAAAATTTAACTACACTTAAATGAAGAACATGCTTTTCACTGATGATTAAATTCCACAAACAATGTTATTTGCATCTATTTTGATCAATACAATTACCAAACATGTTCACCCTCAAGGCCTAGGTAAAATGCAGAAAGAATTCTAAGCAGATAACCGTGGATGCAACACAAAAATACAGTCGGTTCTTTGTGGCCTTTACATATATCTTCTCAACACTCAGTTTTCAGGATAAACTACAAGCATTTATTTGTCATGTACAGTATTTCTCAAACTGAATGCCAACAGTTAGCAGCAGCAGGTTTCTGAAAAATTCAAAGTGCAAACATTCTGTAAGCGGTGACGCTCAGCCAAGGCCCGCCCGCTAACCCTCTCGTTCAAACCGCAGCACTAATCTTCTGCGGGGGGGTGGGGGGGGCCGGGGGGGGTGGGGGGCGGGTCTTTGTATCTCAGAGGCTCCACAGCCACTCACAGACGTCACTTCCTCAATTGTGGCCATAACTGAGATTCTGTGGTTCCCTGAAGCTCATTTCTGTAAACAGCAATATACAATAGCACCATACTTTTAGAAGCAAATCTAGTCTTCTAGGTATCTTGCCACTACTTGATTCAAAACACAGATTAAAAGTATCTACTTACACAGTAAGGTTGGGGTGGGGGGACCTAAGTCATATATTACAGTTGACCCTTGAAGAATTCAGAGCTTAGGGGCCCACACACAGTTGAAAATCACACAGCTGTAACTTGTGACTCCCCCAAAACTTAACTACTAATAGCCCACCGTTGACCAGAAGCCTTACCGACAACATAAACCGTCGATTAACACATATTTTGTATGGTATACATATTATATACTCTACTCTTACAATAAAGTGAGCTAGGAAAAGGAAAATGTTATTAAGAAAATCATAAGGAAGAGAAAATACTTTCACAGTACTGTACTGTATTTATTGACATGTCAAGTTTACATCACCTGCTTTCAAGGTGAATCGCCTGGCTGCCAGTACCTACACCAACACTGCCTTACACGATACAAAACACTGTAGATGTCATACACACTACTAACACTAGACATCAAAAATGAAAAGATAATGTGAAAACGAAATTCCTGTTTGTTTACAGGTATAACGATTCATGCACTGATAACAAAGCATCAAGAATATGATTGTTTACGGTAGCCTAGCCTATACGCTAAGGAATGAATCCTTATAGCATGTTTATGGCATACACCATTACAGTCATATCCATAATACAGTATTGGTAACACTGTTACATGTTTTTAAAAATCACTTACCTGTGATGATAAGCCGATAAGCAGTTTCTCCAATTACAAGAGAGAGGGAGGCATACTGTACGGTAACGTAACTTTGAAAGCAATGTTTTGAGAGTAAGAAAGCTAACACATCATTAATTTTACAGTTAGCATCACTCACTTTGCACTTATGTAAGCACGGGCTGTCCACTTCAATACAAGTCCTGCACACGATGAATGTCATCTGTCTGCACAATGAACACCTGGGCCACGATGATGACACAAATGTCTCACACAGTTCTTAGACTTTCCCAGGAAGACACTCACACACACAAGAGCTAAGCTGCTCACTGCGAAGTGGGAGTGGATCAGCACAAAGGCCTTCGTCCTCGTCCTCGCACTGATTAGGCCGAGGAGGAGGCGTTGGCGGCGGGGGGGGGGAGGTGGAAGGGGAGGCAGGAGGGGCAGGCACGTTTGCTGTGACTTTACGGGAACAGATCATAATTTCTGCCTGACTTTTTTGCTCTTTTATTTCTCTAGAGCTGTTTCTATACGGAACCAATCCTTCTTCCACTGTTTGCTTTAGTTCCAGTGCCCACATCACAGAAGGGTCCAAGGCGTAAAAGTCAGAAGCGACGTCGAGCAATCAGAACCCTCCCGCCAGGTGGCCTGCTTGCCGCCAGGTGCTCTTCTTCTGCATCCTGTCCTCGTCACTGGCTGTGGTTCAGAGGCTCTCATCTCCACCCATTCGTCTTCTGTCAGCTCCTCTCACCTGGTGCCTACTAGCTCTTGCCTTTTTTCTCCAAGATCCGTATTTTGAAAGCCTTCACCCCACTTTTTTTTTTTTTTTTTTTTTTTTTACCATATTTACAATCTCTTTCACGATTTCCTTGATTGGCTCCGACGTAAATCCTGTGAAGTGATGCACAGCATCTGGACACTTTTCCCCAGCAGGACTGTACTGCTTCTGGCGTGGTGGCTTTCACGGCTCTTTCTATAACAGCTACGGCATGATCAATGGTAGGAGACTCTCACAATGTTCTCTCTGCTGGGTTCTCTGACACCACGTTGACAAGCCTTGCCACGGAGCACCATGTGTAATGAGCCTGAAAGGTCCCTATGGCCCCCTGATCTAGAGGCTGAATTACAGATGTGTTTTGTGAGCCAGCAGACCACTTCTACGCCTTTGGTGTTGAACTCATGGGTTTCTGGGTGGCTACGTGCATTGCCAATATCAAAAGAGCTATAAAGGCCATCCCTTGCCAACAAGGTGCTTCCTGAGGTCAAGGACAAGGCACTGATGGAACCAATCCAGAAAAAGGGCTCTCACTGCCCAGGCCTTCCTGTTGTCCAACCAAAGACAGACAGCTGGTGTTTACCTTTCCCCTAGAGGCTGGGGTGAGCAGCTCTCTAGATGAGGGCAGTCCTGCCCATATACCCAGCTGCACTCCTGCCCCTCCTGCTTAAATACTGGTGCTCACTTCTCCTCCTCACTAAAAAATGTCCTCTGTGGCAGACTTTCCCCAGAATGGGGCACTTTCGCCCCCATTAAAAACCTGTCCAGGCAGATGTCCCTTCTCCTCAACGGCTTTCTTAACAGCGTCGGGAGCTTGTCTGCTGCCTGTCGGTGGGCAGATGCTGCTTCTGCTGCTATCTTGACCATTTTAAAGCCACACTTCTTCCTAAAATTATCAAAACATCCTTTGCTGGCATTAAATTCTTCAGCTTTTGATCCTTCACCTTCCTTTTGCTTTAAGTTGTCATATAAGATACGAAGTAGCAGTATAACACACTATTTTGAACAAACTGGAAGTAAATTTTAGGGCTCTCTTGACAATTTTTAGGCTCTCCTGAAAACTCTTGACAATTTTTTTTTTTTTTTTGCGGTACGCGGGCCTCTCACTGTTGTGGCCTCTCCCGTTGCGGAGCACAGGCTCCGGACGCGCCGGCGCAGCGGCCATGGCTCATGGGCCCAGCCGCCCCACAGCATGTGGGATCCTCCCGGACCGGGGCACGAACCCGCGTCCCCTGCATCAGCAGGCGGACTCTCAACCACTGCGCCACCAGGGAAGCCCCCTGACAATTTTTAAATCAACATGGTTATTAGATGGTTTATTCTTTTTTTACGACCAGTAAGAGAAAGTAAATTTGAAAGTATGTAAGGGAAATGCAAACCTTTAACAAAACATATGGATATATTTTCTGACTTTGAAAATTTTTTAGAAAAAGTAAATTAACTGAAAACATATCTGGCTTTTGTATAAATAAAATATGTAAACTTAAAATATTATGTTATGAAAATAATACATCACAGTTTCTTACTAATTTTCAATGACATCAATGTCATTGGAAATTAAACATTTAGAGAATTAATAAAACATGCATAGAAGAAAAAAAAGTCATATAGAAAGACTACTTTTTCTCAAATTATATTAGAGTCTATAGATATGCCTTTCTTACAACAATCCTGCACGCATTTTCAATATGAAATAAAAAGGTATGTCACAAAAGGTACAAGGTTTTTGTGCCTGCTGGTGTAGCTGCTGCCACAGCTTCACAAATTTCCTTTTCTTATTTTTTATTTTTTACAACAGTCCTCACGGTGGATTCATTTGTCTTGAAGTGGCAGTAACCAGAGCTGCAGGTACACATCAAACAGCCCAACATTTTCTCGTAACGTCACGCCTTTTCTCTGCTTCTTGGGGGCACGTCCAGCATCACTTGCAGCGCTTTGTGTTGGTCCCCGTGTTCGCTAAGGTTCACAGGGTTGCACTAGACACAAGGGAAAATACACAAGAACCACGAGCCATCACTTTTTACTGGATTCGCGGTTTCCTGGAGGGGACGTGTGCTCAGGCGGACGTGATGAGGGTCACGCTTGTCTCAAGGGGGTCCACACCACACTGAACTCAGCGCAGGAGCAACAAGAGGCGGCTAAGAGATCGTTAAAGCAGCACAGCGTGCGCTACAGGCACCTGCATGTTTGTTTACATTTCTCCTAACTGTGGAGGGCGCCACACACCTTCTACAAGTGTTTCTGTACGTTTTGATAAACTTTAACTTCTTATAATAGATCTGTGTATGCTTCTGACAGTAAATGATAAAACAGACTAGTATCTATCAATACGCATATTTTCTTAATTTTTTCAGTATTTCTAGGTTACGTGGCTTATCTGCAAGTTTTTTCTAATTGTTATAAATCTCCAAAAAGTTCGGCAATATATTTCTTGAAAAAAATCTGCATAAGTGGACCCGCACAGTTCAAACCTGCATTGTTCAAGGGTCAACTGTACTTTGATTTTACCCTATTATCACTTCTTCTTCAGAAAAACAATGTAATAAACCCTGCCCATTAAGCAAGACAGAATCCAACGAACCAACACACAAGAGCACAAGTGAGGCTCTCAGGAATGGAGTCCAGAACAGCTCAGAGCCAACAGCTCTAGCAAATCTCATCCCAGACAATGGATGACACCAAGAGCTCACCGAGACGTTAACCCTCACAACACTCCTGAGAGCAAATACGGTCACTTCTCCATAGTCACCGCAAGGAGAGATGAACAAGCCACGCTCTCCCCCAGCTAAAGTGCTGCTGGGTGGAGGCACGGTGGAAAGAGCGTGCGTGGCATCACCGCGCCAGGACCCGTGTCACTCTGCTTGCTTAGCTCCCTAGTGCAAAAAGAAGTCACTCAACTTCTCTGAGCTCCACCAGGTCAGTTCACTTGCCAGATGGGGCGAAACCCACACTTTAGAAAACTGTTCTGAGATGATATGAGATATAAGAACCCATAAAGAATGGATCTGCTTTAATGACTAGATGATGTATGGAATAATCCTATTAATTGATTATATGTAAATGATCAGTCAACGAAGCACTTCCAACCAATTTTCCATAAGTAAATTAAATATTCTGAGATGATATTTAATTTTATAATTTGCATAGCAAAATACCAAACAATTTTGACATATGGTTTAAAAATTCTTATTAAGAAGGCCTGACTGAGAGAACACTTGTAAAGATTTAAGGCATTATAACATAAATATTGTAAGATTTTTCCAAAATCTTTAAACTCAATGAGATTATCAGCCTGCACAACTAGAGAGCTGGAGCGTGATTAACTTTTAAATCATTTTTAAGCTTAAGGATTCATTAGGAAATTTGGGGCTTGTTATCACTGAGCAAGTAATGTCTTAATCTCCATGAAATAAAGTTAACTGAAAATCGCTGCTAAGCACATGTTCTCATTTTGGCTGAAGAGCTCGCGGACATACACTAGCCTGCAGGAAGCAGGACCTGCAGGAAGCCCAAGCCCAGCAGGTGCAGAACCGGGTCGGCTGTGAACGTCCACGCCCTTCGCGGTGACCCAGCCTGGGAGACACGGCTCCTAAGACCTGGCTCACGCCCTGCATCTGAGGAAGCCCTCCAGCATCAAGCACATCTCAGCTCTTCTCTGAACACTCTGCCAGCCGTCTGCCAACTTATGACTCCGTCAGAGCTCTTGTCTTTCTTGTTTTCAATCACATATTCAACAAACATCTACTGAGCACTAGCTAGCTGGGTGGGAGGAACAAGGATTCAGGATCCCATCTTAGACCGTGAGGGCCTCAGTCAAGTGGGAGACACAGACACAGAAACTGCTAACACAGTAACACATAACACAATACAACAGCTACTATAACTGATTATGAAGGACTGCAGATCCCAAAGGAGGGAGAACTTTTTTTTTCCCCAAAAATATGTTAGACTAGGTGTCAGAATACCTGATATCTGCCCCACTCATACAAAAAGTTTTGAAAGCACGACATCCTAGGCAACAGTAACCTGGGACAGAGGAGAGCTCACAGCCTGTGTCAGACTTGAGTTAAAACTCTGTCTCAGTCTGTGATACTTGACCTCAGAGGGCAATGGCACAGATTAAACGACCAAACTAAGCTGGGTTAAAGACAAAAATTCTGCACACAAAACCTGGAACAGAGTAAGGGAACAAGTGACGTTAGCGTTCCTCCACTGTTCCACAATATGAAAGAAAAGTATTCAAAATGAGAGGTTTTGCTTTCCTAGAAGAAAATGAAATTACTCCCCTAGAAGAAAAGGCAACCGTTATTCTGTATCTGACAGCCTGCCAGCACCTCCCAAAGACGTGAGCTGGAGCCTCTGCCAGGCTTTCGTTTTTAATACCTGCATTGATATAACACCGATTTAATGTAATATCACGGATACCATATTGTGAAGTTAAAATTATTAATATATATATTAATAACACTAAAACTTTTAACACTGGGTGTCAAAGACTAACATAAGACAAAATGTGTCACTGACCTCTAAATGCTGTCCCAATTATTGTTACAACATAATTCTCTTTTATCTAATAGCAGTGTCATTGAAGCACACTTAACCTTTGATAAAGAAATTTGGATTGCAATGGTGTTTATATTAGTATATTTAACTTGGCTTACAATTTATGATGTTTACATAAATAGACTGTTATATACGACATTTTTAGAATCATAGCTTTTTTGTCAACTGAATTTTAGAGACAGACATTTGGGGGAAAGAAGAGCTCTTTCCTTAAAAAAGAAATCAATATGTGAAAGGCTTCTGGAGCAATAATTATTTGTTAATCTTAGAATTATTATTTGATAATATACATCCCCCAAATTTGACCTACTACATTTGTTTTGAACAGTCATTACAGAACAAGATAATCAACACTAATTGTTTAATGATCACCTTTTTCTATAATGCCCCAGCCTCCCCCTGCCATATGTACACATACAGAGAGAATTATATATACCATTTTCTGGGGAAAGTTTGTCATAAGCATCTTCATAAATATAATTTCTTCTTATTGTGACATTAATTCCATCCAGAAATGGACCATCTCCTTGAACTTCTTGCTTATCTGCATAAATCAACCTTTGAAAGATCTAACAGAGGGGAAATTATAAGGTTACTTGAAAACAACAGACTTTTCGTTATAAACATAAGCAACCAAAAGGAAAAACCGCAAAATAAACCTTCACTTTACCTTCTGTATCTCCATAAACTCTGAAACACATTTTAAAGGCCAAGGTACCAGATACTGATTTTATGCCTTCTCAGTAAACGTGCACTATTTATATATTTGTAATATTGTTCCTTTTCCCCACTTTACAACAAATTTTAAAAATCCCATGCTATGTCATATTTTCAATATTTCCTTTTGGAAACCTTTTATAAAACTCCAGATGGTGGAGGGAAGAAGAGTAGCTTTGGAAAGCTGTACATTAATATTAGTAGGAATATCTCGATGGTGATAGAATTCAAGTAATTTTTTTTATGCTAAAAATCCAGTAGAGGGCACTCAGGAATTACACAACACCATGTGTATATGTGAGTGTGTATGTGTTTTAATGAAGAAATGTCAACAGCTTTAAATGTTCATCCTGTGAAAAGAGTGGGCAGACCTAAAAAACACCCTCTTGAAGCCAGAAGTGTAGTAGTTTTTAGAAATTGCTAAATAAGTTGGTGAATACAAACAAAACATTTTTTCAAGAGGTATTTGATTGGATTATGCTTTTATAAATCATGGTCAACAATTAACAATCTAATGAGAAAAACAAATTATTTAATGAGATAGGCACTAGGCAACTTTATAGAGATTTTTTCCATTGGTGTTACTTTTTTTTTTGCGGTACGCGGGCCTCTCACTGTTGTGGCCTCTCCTGTTGCGGAGCATAGGCTCCGGATGCGCAGGCTCAGCGGCCATGGCTCACGGGCCCAGCTGCTCCGCGGCATGTGGGATCTTCCGGGACCGGGGCCCGAACCCGTGTCCCCTGCATCGGCAGGCGGACTCTCAACCGCTGCGCCACCAGGGAAGCCTGGTGTTACTTTTTAACTCTGAGATGATATAAATAACCACAAAACACATGGAAAGAAACCAAATTCCATACCTTTACTCGCTCCTCAAACGGAACCACAAAGGGCAACTCTGTTAGGATGGCGAGCTGTCTTTCCTCAGACACAGACAGTGGCGGGGACTCCAGACCTACTGCAACACAGTTTAAAACCTTCGTCACTGTGTGTACCTTCCTTTCCAGACTCACAAGGCTACACTCTGTATGGTTCAATTTAAAGACATTCTGGAAAAAGCTGAACTATATACAGGGACCAAAAACCCAACCTGTGGTTGCCAGGGGCCAGGGTAAGGAGCTGGCTACCAAGGCATGAGGTGTTTTCTGGAACGATGAAACTCCTCTACCTGGCCGATCATAGTCAAAAATCACAGACCAGTAGACTAAAGAGCGAACTTCACAGTAAGTGAACTACACCTCAGTAAACTCGAGTTAAAAGAGCGATGAGGTCCCAGGGAGCTCACCGTCCAGGGTGGACCGCAGGGGGCCGATCCTCCCCATTCGCCTGAACCTCCAAGCACTTCTGGACGCCGGGACGTAGAGCTGGGTGACCTGTGGGGACCAGACACCCTGCTTAGTCAGCCCTTCCCTGTGTCCCAGCACACACGCCTACCCTGCCTCATTCGAGCTGCACCGGTGTTTCACATTTATTTAGTTGCGTCCCTCTCTCCCACCTCCTGTCCTTTTCAGGAGACCTCTTCATAACCTCTCTCCTATGCTGGTGCTCTAGTTAACGATGTATAATATCTGGACATAGTAAATCATCAAAATATGACTGCTTTATGAAGAAAACCACATCACCCTTAAAAAATTAATTTCTCACTATTACCAAATATTCACTCTCATAATTTTTTAAAAATTGTCTGAATAAGCATCCAAATAAGGCTGGTATAGTGTGTACTGTCTCCGAATCCTTTTCATCTGTCAGGTCCCTTCAGCCCTCATTTCTGCCCTTGTGACTTTGATGAGGAAGCAGAAGCATTTGTCCTGTAATCTTCCCCATTGTGTGGATTTTGCTAATTGCAGCATCATGGTGTTAACATGTACTTCTAGCCCCTCCATTTCCTATAAATTTGTCGTTACATCTGGAAGTTTCACCAGGCTTGGTCTCCGGGAGAAACACTTCGGAGGTGGACAGTGTTCTCTTCTCGAGAGGCACGCGTGCTCAGCACCGCTGGTCGCAGGTCAGCGATGAGAGCAGGAACTGGTGGGAAAATAGCAGCCAACTGTCAACAGGCACCAGACACACTGCTTGGCTCAGCTGACAGTCTCCCTGGAGCACAGCAGCAGCACAGACCCTCGTCTCCCAGGCCTCCGGCCCACGTCTCCACTGTACTTCAGCGGGGGGCCGACACCAAACTTCATCAGAGCAGGCAGGCTAGACACCGTCTTCACGTGCTGTCAGCTGGAACACTTCCACGTCGAGAAGGCTCTCACAGCATCGACTCCATGGTTAGCCCACGAACAGTTCACAAAGGAAAGGCGGGCTAAAGGTGTGATGACTTCCTTCTTCCTACCAGTATTTAAAACGAGGGTGGTTCCTTTGTATCCCACAAAGATGGCTAACGAAGTTCTTTTTAGCATCCTTATGAACTCACAGATTCAAACACACTTGACGGTTAGTCCTCTGCACCTACGCTGCTGGCGCTCGCCTCCACCTCTGGCTGCTAAAGCCCTTTGAGGCGGCCCCCGGCCCTCATACAATCTCCCGTGGCCCCCGCTCTCAGGTGAAAGAACACGCCACCGTCTCGCGCACTTCCTCCCTGGACCTGCCACGAACCACTGTGCCGAGGACCCTTTCTTTTCGGTGGGAAATATTCAGAAACCCCAACATGGGCCCCAGAGGCTTGCACCGCTACAGGACATGCCACAGCATCTCAGCCTGGCCAGTGGGCAGAGCTCAAGCCACATGCTTAACTCAAAGAGACAATACTCCATGCGGACAAAGCGATGCTTCTAAAACAGCCCTGTTTTCATTAACATCTCTGTGATCTTGTTTGCTCCGTACCCACCACCCTGCGCCCCCAGCCTCAAGTTTCTGAGACGAATCCAGTCATGTGTTTCTCTGACAAACAACAATGAAAACACCTCATGTCCTTTGTTAATGTTATCTTAATTTATTTTGAAATAGATTATACTATTTAATCTACTTTAGATCTAGATCTTAGTAATATTCACATTTCTCTCTGTCCCTTTAGAAAACCAGAAATAAGTTCCATCTCTTAAGTACTAAATATATACTGAAAATAACAATAAAAGCAAAAATTTTTTTCAACCCCCGAAAACCCCATTATGCTTCAATATACTTTGTGGTTAAGAGCAAATTAGGATTAACAACAAATGCAGGATGCATGTGGGAGCCAACGACACTGCTCTACGTTCTACTAGGTGACCTAAGAGTTAGTAACACAAAAGTTTACTGTTAATGTTTAGTTACATAATAAGTTAAACAACTTTAAAGGATTTATTCTTCTCCCCCAAAAGATAAAAGCTGAAAAAATAAATTTAATGAAAAATATTTAGAAGATTTAAAAGTGACACCTTATCTGCTTTAATATCTTCTTGCTCTGACAGCCAGTGATTGGGAGGACAAAACTTTCTCCTCGCGTCTCTGGACTTCAACATTTTCACTAGGTTGGTGATAACCTGAGAGGGAGAACAGGAACACGTCACACGCAGGCTCGGGAACTACGGCAACACTTCCGGTCAGGAGTGAGAGGCCACGGCACCGCTTCACCTCCGTGCCCGAGGACGCGGGCTTCCGTGGTGAAGAGCTGGCTAGACCGCCACCAGGTCTGTCTGCAGAAAAGCACCTCGTTCTGTGATTACAGGAGTTAGCTTTAGGTACAAAGCGGTTAATATCTACTGGCAAAGAGAGAAAAATTATTAACACAAATGTGTGCAAGGGCTGATTTCTTAAAAACTGCAAGGGAGGCAGTAATTAAGTTTTAAAACACAAATGGGGAAACCTATTAGCCCATTTGAGCTATAATAAAAGACATCTCCAAGTACAGCAATTTCCCTAAGGTAAAACACATTTCTTATTTTTCTGAAAAACACTCTATTCAAGGCTGCTGGCAGCGGGGGAGGGGTGGGGGGTGAGAAGCAGTGTCCTAGACACACCTGTCAACCTTCCAAAAAGAAAGATCATTTCAGTATTTCCCTTACGCAAGCCTCTGGAATTAGGTCTGCGTCCCAGTGCAATTCCACGCAAACTCAGCGTAACGTCCTTCAGAAAGCCTCCCCACACGCTCTGGCTACCCCCCCCCCCGCATTATCATAGCCTAGTCCTTCACTGCCGTTTTCCCGGTGAGCGTCAGCCCCTCTCTGGCTGTGCGGTAAGCCCCCCATGAACAGAACCCAAGTACCTACCTAGAAACCTACTAGGTACCTGATGATGGACAACTGTATAATAAACTCTGTGATGTACGATTAAAGAGATCTTAATGGTACTGTCTATTTAAAAAAGACATGAAGTTATACATTAAATAGAAATGTGTTTTGTAATAAACAAAGATAAACCAACACAAAGTTGTAAAACCAAAGTTTTAAACCTTTACAACCAGGAGTTGATCAGACAACTACTATGATGTTAATGACTATGATGGTATTTTCTGAAAAAGTCAGCCAGGCTTTCTGTACACATTGCCTCTAATTCAGTAAAATATAATTTGAATAAAGAACTAGGAAATGTCATTGTGTGTCCAACGAAAGTGGGTAAGAAAGGGTCCTTGGTTGATATCTCAGGCCACTACGACACCAACACTGGTTGGATGATCTGCCCAGTGACAGAGAAAAAGTAATGCTTGAGCGATTTGGCCATCCAGACAAAACCACATTAGCAAAAATCTCTCAAGATCTAGAACACAGCTTGTACACTGGTGGATATATCTTGCCAATTTAGCTGTGATGTCTACCTTGTGGTATTTTAAAGCCTATTGTAATACTATGGTACTGTCCTTTTCGAATCAGCAGAAACTAGCATAGGTAAGCAATCAGTTGCTCAGGGGTCAGCTTACACACATGCAATGTTTTACGATGACTGATTTTAAGTGCAGCTGTGGTAGACTGAGAAAGGCCTAGTCTTTGGTTCTATCTGGTTAACTGCTGGTCACAAACAGAGTAAGGCCATTGACCTACAGCACCAACTCTGGGAAGTCTCTCGGTACTGCTCTTCAGAAGAAAAGACGAGATCCAGGAAAGGTCATTCCATGTGCTCTCTGGGTCTGAGACAAATTCAGTCGGGTCCACACAGATCGCACCAACAGATGCTCTTTCAACAGTGGAGAGTGAAGTACAGTCTTGTGGCAGGACGCACATTATGTCTTATCTCTCCTTTTACCTAACCAATTACATCGGTATTTTGAGTAAATTTGGATTTAACAGACATTGTGCTGAAATTTACCCACAACACACCACAACTGCTGACAAAAGACGTGCTTTCTGACAAACACTTATGTGTGTTTGTTTAATTGCACCCATTAACTTATGGCTCTCACACATCCCCCAGACTCTTGACACCATCCCCACTGCACACGCTCAAGTTCACAGCTGCCTAGCCCTCAGGAGCAGGCTGTCATCCACCTCCCGGTATTCACCACGATCCGATCTACGCTGATGAGGGCATCCTTTTCTATAGGTCACAAACATTATCAAACTATCTAAGAGGTAATTAATGCCATAATTTACATTCCTCTTTTAAATTACTGTGAAATGAAACATTATAAAGTTTCAATATATGCAGTCTCTAGGACTGCCAGAGAAAATACAGGACACCTAGACAAAGCTGAATTCCAGATAAACGTCAAATGAATTTTTTAGTATAAATATGACCCAAATATTGCTTTATTCAAAGTGTATGTCTCAAATATTGTTTTTAAAAAGCATAAATGTATCCAAAATATTTCACAGGACATACTTGTATCTAAACTGCATTTGCTGTTTATCTGAAATCCAAATCTAACTGGGTGACACATATTTTTACGTGTTAATTCTGGCAATATGAGCCCTGGACCAATTCCCCAAATAGTTTAGAAATGTCAGATCCCCTAAGAGCATTCTTCTCCTTTAAACTAGTTTTCTTCTAAGTTTTAGAGAAAAACACAAATTTTAAGTAACCATGAAAATTTTAACTGGATCCATTCTGTGATTTCAGAACACCTTTAAACACATTCCCTTTCTCTGCATTCATTTTCAGTATCACAAACTGCTAGAAATACTTAGTACGGAAAAAGCAAAGTTTACATAGGTAACCGTTAAAAAACCACGTAAACTGCAGAGTGTCACAGGTAAAGAAAACTGAAGTAACGATTTTACACTGGATCAATACAGACGCCCAGTGCTGAGATCAAAAGACAGTTTCTCTTTCAGTTAATTTTATCAAATCTCCTCGCACAGACATGCCTACTACAGAAGACAGGACCAGCACCGAGAGACCGGCAGGATTAACTTCAGTCCTGGGGTGCAAGTCTGCAAACTGAGATCAGAGGTTACTAAGATCTGCCCAAAGGGAATTCACCACACAGTCAGGCCTGTGGGTCAACACAGCTGCATTTCAGAACCTCCTGCTGACAAACACCCCAACGGGCACCACCAACAGCAACTGGAACTTAGTTCACCTGAGGTGAGCCTGTCAGTAATTGTTAACTGATCCCTAGGAGGTCGTGAAACACAGTGAGACTTGAGAACCAGTGTGTTAAGAAATATGAAATAAAACAGCAAACAAGCAGACACTGGGATAACTGTCCCTCACTCAGTACACAGTTTTGGCAGACTTTAACAGTTATAAACATAGTAGTGTTATATTTTACATGATACGTTTAACTCTTGTCTCCCATGTCATCTTCTTCCGCGCTGGATCTAAACTTCAATACTCAAAAACTAACAAAATTACTGAAGCAAATACTCAGAAATGCACAAAACTGTTATGCGTGTTTGATTATTCGCCACTGAAATAAAAAACAGGTGATATCAGGGAATTCCCTGGTAGTCCAGGGACTGGGACTCTGCGCTTTCACTGCTGAGGGCCAGGGTTCAATCCCTGGTCGGGAACTAAGATCCCACAAGCCGCGCAGACAAAAGAAAAACAACAAAAAACAGAACAGGTGACACCTACGAGGTTTCCCTTAACCCCAATGTTAAAAGGACCAAGCAGATGACTCATTAGAAGCACACAGATGACTCATAAAAATCCCACCTGACAACGGTCCAAGTTAAAGACTTTAAATGTTCAACTGTGATATTTCTGAATGGAGACCACTGATATTTAGCTTTACTACTGCAACAAAAAAGTACATAGAGTCCAAATTTTGAAAGGCAGCTGTAATAATCTCTTTTTGTCTTAAATCTGGTTATGTAAGTTCGAACACCTTAGGTAATTATTTTAAAACTTCAAAACAAAGCACAGGACACAGCACATAATTTATGGGTACCTAAGTGTGGTAAATGTGTGATGTGATAAATATACAATAAAGAATTTTTTCGATTTTGATTTCATAATGAAGAATATGTAAAAATGAAATACAGGGCTTCCCTGGTTAAGAATCCTCCTGCCAATGCAAAGGACACGGGTTCGAGCCCTGGTCCGGGAAGATCCCATATGCCACGGGGTGACTAAGCCCGCACACCACAACTACTGAAGCCCGCAGGCCTAGAGCCCGTGCTCCGCAACAAGAGAAGCCACCGCAAATGAGAAACCTGCGCACCACAACGAAGAGCGGCCCCCGCTCACTGCAACTAGAGAAAGCCCACACGCAGCAACAAAGACCCAACGCAGCCAAAAATAAATAAATAAATGTTTTTAAAAAATGAAATACGGGCTTCCCTGGTGGCGCAGTGGTTGAGAGTCTGCCTGCCAATGCAGGGGACATGGGTTCGTGCCCCGGTCCGGGAAGATCCCACATGCCGCGGAGCGGCTGGGCCTGTGAGCCATGGCCGCTGAGCCTGCGTGTCCGGAGCCTGTGCTCCGCAACAGGAGAGGCCGCAGCAGTGAGAGGCCCGCGTACCGCGAAAAAAAAAAAAAAAAGAAAGAAATACAAGAAAAACCAGTAAAGTACCAGCTCTTAAGATTATCACCTCATAAAAGGCCAGAACGACGATTTTCCTAGTGTAATCCAAAGTTTAGAATGACTTTAGCAGTTCTTTTTTCCATCCTGCGCACTCTTAGCTTTGTTCTAGCTCAACATCATCACTTGAAAGTTTCTCCTTTTCGTTATATAGTGATACTCAAAGAACAGGGACTCTGTCCGACCTCATTTATCATTCCCCAGCACAGGGTGCAGCCAATGTTCTCAGATAAACACAGTGGGTGTTTAAATACTGACAGTAACGACACCCTAGCCTATAAAAGTCATTAAGTGTAAGGATTCCTGCTGTCAACACGACTACTTGTTAAAGTTGGTTTATTTTAAAAGTCAAAGTATTCTGCAGCATGTTTAAAACACTACAAAATTATTTCTTGAAGTCAAACACAGAAGGACACGGGGCAGCTCTGCCACCTGCAAGGGAGCCTGGGTTCGCCTCACTGGCCAACACCGACGGTTAACAGCGGCACGTTTCCGTTACAACGAGGCATTGCTGTGGCTTTCACGGTTTACTTTTTTAAAGAGTCTTTTCAAAACTGAAAAATGCAAACCAACCACCAGGAAAGCGAAACTCCCTCGTACTGCAGCCCTGTCTGTCTGTCTGTCCGGCGCACGCAGGTAAGGCAGGTGCGAGGCCTCCCGCCTGGTCCCTCCTTTCAGGCGGCTCCAGCTCAGCTTGGCAGCTGCACACAGAAGGCAAATCCAACAGGAGCTCCCATCGCCTCACAGGGCTAAAGCGATTATAGCTGTAAATTACACTTCAAGAGGAGTTTATAAATTTGATAAATGCATAAACTGTTTTAGCAGTGTCAATGCAGGGCTTGGAAACTGACCTCAATTCTTACAGTGACAAAGAAAGATGACTCCATCCACTTAAAAGTCTGTGTTCTGTGACCAGCCCCCAGGGCCTCTCTCAGAAATCAGTCTGAGAGGGGCCATCAGGAGGCTGAGAAATGAAGATGGTTTTGGTGCTTGAAGGAGTCGGCTCTCATCATGTGCGATGCTGTCAGAGCCAGCAGAAGGCAGGAAGTCACTGGCAAAATAACGCTGTCAGAGCCAGCAGAAGGCAGGAAGTCACTGGCAAAATAACGCTGTCAGAGCCAGCAGAAGGCAGGAAGTCACTGGCAAAATGCTACTACTTTCTTTGGTTGATTCCACCTTGAGTCCTTCAGCTAAAATCTGACACTGAAATATACATAAAATGCTAAACGTTTATTTTCGTACTTTTCAGAGGGACAGTGGAGAGGAACAGCTGAGCTCACATGCTGCCTCCATCATCTACCAGCTATGTGACCTCATCTGCAAAATGGGGATAATCATAGTATCCTCCTCACAGAATTACTGCTTTACATGAACTAATATATGTAAAGCCCTTAGAATACTGTCTGAAACATAGCAACCACTGAGGGTTAAATTCTTATTATTTCATATTAAGGATAATTTTTTCTTAAAAGAAAAACTAATAGCAGCTGAATCCTTTCAAAGACTTGCCTTGATTTTGTTTTGTTTTGTTTTCTGGGCTCAGCTCAATAGCAGGCAGTACAAAAAAAAAAATCTTTTTCAAAGAGCAGGAATCTCATTCAGAAACTTGTCTTCAAACAAGTCTGTTCTAAACTCAGAAGATCTTTATAACAACTCAATTTCAAACCTAAAACAATCCTGTTCCAAAAAAGGTGAATTTTTACCCTAATTCTTTAAAAAAACCAACCACAAAAAGCCCTCAATCCTTAATAAAGTAGTAATAAGTCATAAGAAAAAATTCACTACAAAATTTTCATTTAATGATTAAGCAAAATAAAATAGGACCAGGGAAAAAACACCTTATACAGCATTATTATTATTATTATTATTATTTTTCCAGTACGCAGGCCTCTCACTGTTGTGGCCTCTCCTCTTGCGGAGCACAGGCTCTGGATGCACAGGCTCAGTGGCCATGGCGCACGGGCCTAGCCACTCCACGGCATGTGGGATCTTCCCGGACCGAGGCACGAACCCATGTCCCCTGCATCGGCAGGCGGACTCTCAACCACTGCGCCACCAGGGAAGCCCTATACAGCATTATTAAATTCAGACGTTTCTGGGTCCTAAAGATAAGCCTGTCATGAAAATTATGAAATTCTGTATAGGTGCTATAAAATAATGAAATTATCTGATACTGTACACAAAACCTGATAACATACATAATGGAAAGTTTTACTAACAAAGATCCCAGAGTTTAATTAAATACTTAAAAGAAAAACATACATGCTACCATTAATACCCATATCCAGGAAAAGCTTACATAAGAATTACAAGTTTTAAATGGGCAATATAGCTTATTTTTAACTTAGAAAAGATGCAGAAGTGTCAGTCTTTAAGCAAGGATATATTAAAGGGCTCAACAAGTGACCCTAAAAGTTTACTTAGAAATACAGAGATAGGTAATTAAAATAAATTGTGCAAACATATATTACATCAATCTGCACAAATTATAAATGCAGTGATGCATTAGCACTGTATTCAGTGCAATGAAAACATTATCAGTTACTCTCACTGCTACTAATGCTCGTGCTCATAAGTGAAATGTGTTGTAAAATCGGGCAGAACGGGCTGGACAGAGCCTATCGTGCGCTCCTAGGATGAATAAGCAGTCCGTAATTAGCCCATCAGGTTAAGTGCAAGCATTAATGGGCCCTTCCTAAAGTCTAGCTTGACATCTTTCTCCAAACATGGCCAAGAAGAAAGTTCCATTAGCAATATTAATACAAGCTTAGTTGATCATTTTCATTCAATTAACTTCTTTCAATTAAATAGATAGCTTGACAAAAGCAGTGATAAAAGACCTAAAGGGACAGCTGATGACTCGAACTGAACATTAGCGTGCGAGAGGTCGCTAGTATTAAACGGACTGTAAATCTAGCATTCAATTTGGAAAATGCATTTCTTCTGCTCTCACTCCTTTAATGAGCGATTTTAGCTGACTAGATGTGTTTGCTGCAGAAATTTCATGGGAAGTCAAGCACCCTTTTTCTTTTCTTTTTTTCTGCCCCAGTAGTTCTATTCTCAGTGGTGGTGGTTTCCTGCCAACATTCCAGCCACAGTAACTCATAACTTCTCTTTCTGCATGGTTAAAAATGAAGATATTTTAAAATAATTTATATTCAACTTGCATTAAGTTAATGATCTTATTCTACCTTTGTTACTCAATTTCTTAAAAGATTAAATACATAAAATCTGTAAGAGATTTTTTAGTGAAAAATAAAACTGAAAACATTAAAAAAATTTTAACTATACATCACCTTGTCATTGGAAGTACCTGGGGCAATTTATAAAAGATACATGTAACAATGTAAAAAGAAGGCTTTAGAAGGAGGCAAATGTAAAATGAAAATGACTTTTCTTAAAAGTTTTTCAAACTAACAATTATGCCTGAAACAAACCTGTATTTCTATTCTTCTAAAATGAGTCAATACAAAAAAAAATCTGCACATTATTTAACCTCAGTAAACAAAACTATTCATATACTCGTTACCTTAAATAACTGGATCCATCGTTTCTGTTCCATCTGTATACATTGCTGCATTTCAGAATTAGTAGTAACTCCAATACTTTGAAATGCTATAATATATTCTTCTCGAACTTCTGGTTTTGTTTCTGGATAAGCCAACTTGATGATCCCTAAGCATGCATCTCGAAGGCATCGAGACAGCATTATCAGCTCTTCTAAAGTGAAAGGCATCATTGATGATTGTCTCTGACCTACAACTGGAAAACACAAACCAAGTTTCTATCACATTTGGGTTTTTTTTTCATTTCTTAACACACTGAAAGACTTAAAAGGCTTAAAACTTTTCTATCACCTATGAAAATGGACAGGCCATGAGGCCAGCAACAAACCAATTCCTCAAAATTCTTACCTTCTATGGGATCACCGAAGAATTCATTATCATGTATGGAAATCAGTGAATGACTAAACAAGGAGCTGAAAAGGTAAAAGAGTGGGATGATTCTACTAGAATCTTCAAAAGACATAGGAGAACCCCTTGATATCACCTGAAGCAATGGTACCATAGACCTAGAATTGGGAAAAAGGAGAAAGAAACCCACAATGATTTAGTTTGGGAACAAATTAAGACATGACATCAGACAAATATAATCAGGGAAAATAACGTTTACATTAGCAACTAAACTACTTCCAGGGGAGGCAAAGTCATTCTAACAATACAGGTTAACAAATAACATAAATTAAAGAATGAGGACACCAAGCCACCACTCTTTATTAATGTTCCTGCTACTATCTTCAACTGGATAAGCTTAGTAATTTGAGAGCGAACCAGTGGTCCCAAGGTTCACTGGAAGAACAGAGAGTAAGTAACGCCACTCTTAAAGACACACACTTTACTTTTATGCTGAAAACCACCCCCTTTCCCCTCTACAAAGGCAGATGGGTCTGGTCTCATGAAAAATTTATCCAGCCACTTACTTTTAGGAACATTCAAAACAGTTAAATGTTGAGCCCAAATTAGAACCTTCAGGCTGTCTCCCCTTTAGATACTGGGCCTTGTTTCCACCTACCAGCCCCGTAACTGTTACGAGGAGTCCCGAGACCGCCTGGCGCAGCTCTAAAGCGAGCTGGTCTCTTTCCCCTCCCAAGAGCTGCCAGCTATCACGTTTACTTCTCCCTCCTGGTTAAATGCGTTTCCTTCTCTCGCTGAACACTCAGCTCCCAGAGGCTCCCCGTGAGCTCCTCCCCAGCGATAAAGCTCCGCGGCCTCTCCAGTATGTCTGGGCGGTCCTGGGTTCGCAGACCTTGTGGGCAAGATCGATCTCTCATCTTCCTCCATCCGCACCTGCACCTCGAACATCAATTTTCCCCAAACCACAGTTATCTAGGAGGTGACATGTGCTGAGGAGTCATGGCCGCAAATTCCCCAGGGGCCGGTCCACCACTGCCCCAAGTCACATGGGCGAGCAGAGCAGGAGGTGAGGCCTGCCTGAGGCGCTGTCCTCGCTGGGGGCTTTGGTCAGCTCGGATGAGCCACCTGGAGCTCTAGGGTGTCCATAGGGCACAGTTCAGGGGACAGCATGCCACCACCGGGGCTGGAGCGCAGGGCCCGGCTGTGCAGCCTGGGTGCAGCTCCCGCCAAGGAGCAGCACACTCGGGCCAGTGTCCCACGCGGCCCCAGCGCTCAGCACAGAGCACCAAGCTGAGAGAAAGCCATCCATGCAAAGTAAAAGTGCAGTGAGGGCAGACACAGAGGGACAAGCACGCCGTCTTCCCTCCTCGCCAACTTGGGGACCACAGAAAAAGGCTGTGTGCCTGGGGCATCGCACAGCAGTGGCCAAGTCCCAAGAGGACAGAAGCCCCCATCTCCCCCAGGTGGCCCCCACCAAGCCTAGCCCTGTGCCATCCACACAGTAGAACAAAAGGGTAAAGATCATTTGTTTTGCTGATATTGGTAAAACTAATAGTTTGTATCTTTTAGTTCCCTTGTCACTAACAGCAGAAGTACAAAAACAGTGGATAATACTGACAAACACACACTATTTAGGGGGACATGGCACAGGTCGAGTTAAGCAGCTGCAATGTGGAGAAAGTATTTCCTGAATCTAAGGGGACAATAAAGCCGCTTTCAGCTGTGACCCGTCAATAATCCTTGGGTCTAAATTCAGCATTGGCGTCAGTTATGCACATATATGTCAGGACGCATAAAACTCTTACACTGCTTCCCTAAAAAAAGATTAGGGCAGGGCTTCCCTAGTGGCGCAGTGGTTGAGAGTCCGCCTGCCGATGCAGGGGACGTGGGTTTGTGCCCCGGTCCGGGAAGATCCCACATGCCGCGGAGCAGCTGGGCCCGTGAGCCATGGCCGCTGAGCCTGTGCGTCCGGAGCCTGTGCTCCGCAATGGGAGAGGCCACAGCAGTGAGGGGCCCGCGTACAGCAAAAAAAAAAAAAAAAAGATTAGGGCACTTATGCAACATTAGTTTATTTGTTCTCTTTAACCCCCTGTGAGGTAAGCAGAAGGAATCAACCACGTTCACGCCAATGGCAGGAAGCGCGACTGGCAAGAAGGGTCAGCTGTGGCCTGGGGCCTCACCCAGCTGGGACTGGAATGAAACATGTCTCCTGATTCTGCTGACTGCTCCTTCTGCCATCAACACTGACTCAGATACTCCTCTCAACACAGGTCAAAGACTTATGTGCAAATAAAAAGTCCGTAATTTACTGTAATGAAAGGAAAGACACTGATTCGTGACTCGGAGAGTTGGCTGGCTTAGGAGCACCGAAGAGACCTCAGACAAACCCTCACCTCTGTACACACCCTCAGAACAGGGGTTTCCACAGGGGGCCGGGCAACTGCCCCCCTCCCCCTTAAGTGAAAGAGCTTCTCGTCATCTCTAGAAGCTTCTAGTGAATGCATTCTTGCCTTGAAAAGCTTTAAGAGGGCCACTGTAAGTACTACTAACCACTGGAGCCAATGTGAAAAGGAATGGGCAGGATATTCTCAAAACAGGCCCTAGTGAGTTAAAGACAATAACCGAACCACACCAGCCTCACCACACAGGCCCGTGGCAGGGCAAAACACCCTCAGGTTAGGTTTTGGTAAAGGGAGGCCTATCAGAAAACAGAAACCAGCCGCCCAGACGCTCCTTCAGCTTCACCTGCATCCCCATCACCGAGGGGCCCGTGAGGCCACAGCTCCGGGCTTCTAACCCAGGCCCCGAAGCCAAGCCCCAGGGCTGGGGCCGAGAAGTCTACACTTCGACACACTCCTCTCATGAGCCTTACGCTCCCTGAAGCTCAGGAGCCCCAGCTGCGTAAGTCCCGCTAGGAAACCACTGATATTTTCAAGTTACGCCTCACGCCATTTTCAGGAAAATCAGGCATTTCATCTTAATTTTATTCCAATAATAAATATGAGATACACATTAGGAATGTGTTAATACGCTGTAAGCTTCTTGAGGGACCTTATTTTAATAAATTAAATTACAAAGAAATTCATTCTCAAATGAGCTTTTAAGAAATAATGAGTTTTTAAAAATTTGTATACCTTTACTAACTTATAATATTAGTAATTTAATATAATCAATACTATCCCATTTTTTTTTCACACACCATGACTCCATCTCCTCACCAGGAGGCAAATGCCATAGACAAACAGGCAATCATCAGGCAGAGCCCGGGTGGGACCGCTGCTGCTAAGCTGAGACACTTGGAGATCAAGGATAATTTCCCGTCCCAGTGGTCCCCAATCTTTTTTTGCCCTAAACAAAGCTGTCATTCATGAATGCCAAGGCGGGCATAGTCGTAAGTGTTTGAAATACACACACACACACACACACACACCCCTAGAAACCTTACATCTTAATTTGAAAATCACAGGATATAAAGATATTTTCTAGACCTTCAGTTATCTCTCTCTCCTCTCTACTGCTGCCGCTCACTGTTGAGAGGAGAGACATGGCTCCACCCTTCTGCGTTGCCATCAGCTCCCGTGCTGTCATTCAAAACTCCTTTCAGTCATGTAAGATGCATTAAAATTACATGAAAAAAACATGAAAGTAACTCAAAGTTACGCTATGAGTACCCTGCCCTTCCTCTAGCAGTGGGAAGAGGACTGGACCTGGGCTCCTTTGGCACAGGGCTGGCTGGGACCCACCCGAAGGTGCTGAAATGAGACCATCTCGTCCTCCACACACCACAGTGACAAGCTTGAGACCCAAAGAGCGCCACACGTGTACTGTGTCACAGACCAAGGGAGATTGCAGGTGGATGCACAGTGAAATGCTGGACACCCCAAACTCACCCACCAGTAAGGCTTTCTATTTCTTGTCTCAAAAGAATATAAAATTTGTTTGAAAGAGAAAAGGAGGACTTCCCTGCTGGCGCAGTGGTTAAGTATCTGCCTGCCGATGCAGGGGACACGGGTTCGAGCCCTGGTCTGGGAAGATCCCACATGCTGCAGAGCCCCCATGCGCCACAACTACTGAGCCCGTGTGCCTAGAGTCCATGCTCTGCAACAAGAGAAGCCACAGCACTGAGAAGCCTGCGCACCGCAACGAAGGGTAGCTCCCGCTCGCCACAACTAGAGAAAGCCCACACACAGCAACGAAGACCCAACGCAGCCAAAAATAAATAAATAATTATATATATATCTATATATCTATATAAAACGGAAACCCTCTTCTTTCCAAAGGCTGGCCCTAAAACAAAGAAGTGCTTTCCTTCCCAGGACAGGCTGGTTCACGGCTGCAGGCAATACGGTGCTGGCTGTGATCTCCACCGCGTGCAAGTGCACTTTAGAAGCTGAGTCTCCAGTGAACTGAGTTACACACTTCTTTTCACACTACAGTACAGAAGGATTGGCTCAGACCCCAGACAGGAGAAATTCATCATGGTAATGGCCTCTGTCCATTTACCGTGAAGGATTTTTGAATATTAAATTCTCTACATATTATGCATTCAATAAATATGTATATTAAAGATTCTAGCTTTCAAGTTACACGATTCACATAAAAAATCAAATTATTTCAACAAAAAGGTTTAGAAACCAATTTCTACGATACTTTATATGTTTTAATGTTTGTATTGGTGGTAAATTTGCTTCAAATCTATATTTTCACTATCAAAAGCAGGGAAAAGACATATCAAGCAAAGAAATTTCAAGTTTCTGATTTTCAAAACATGACTAGTTTTGTTTTCGTTTTCTTTTGGCTGTGCCACGCAGCACGCGGGATCTTAGTTCCCAACCAGGGATTGAACCCATACCACCTGCAGAGGAGTCTTAACCACTGGGCCATCACGGAAGTCCCGACTAGGATTTTTAAAACAAATTTACCCTCAGATAAAGCCATACTCTTAATAATATACACAGATAAACAACTGTAAAGTTAGGCATTAATTTTTTCACTTTGTGAGACTGAGACCATCTAGAATTTTTCTTCTAATATGAAATAAGCTAAGTATAAGTAGTACTTAAAAATACCTTCTTACAGTGCTTTTTATTAGATCGCCACTTTCCATGTCCTTAAGCTCAATTTCTAAGTCTGTATAACACATACCCTGTGATCATCCGTGTTGTCATAGAAGATATGAGAAACCAAAGGTGTCTCAGAAACCTGGCATTGAAGGCTAAACTGTAGAGAAGCCTAAAAAGGAACAGGGGAAATAAGAAAGAGTTAGCAAATATTCATTCAATATACTTCAAAAAGAAGAAAGCTATAAACTGAAGATAATGTACAATTTAGAAAATACCTGTATTAACACCACAAATCACTTCCTTCCTACAGCAGGCTGCTTAAGGAGTACAAATGAGAACTAGTCCGTGCACCCCAACTGTGAGAGCCACTGTCTACTGTTAACGGAGCTAAGCTGGCCCTGAGCTGTGCCTATGAGACCAACCCCAAAGAGAACCGGACGGGCCGTTTTAAAGCACAAGTTGAGTTTGCTGCCCCTCTGAGTACGTATCGTAACACATTACTACATCACAATATTATGTATTATTAATATTATTACTACCAATACACATTAAAATTTTAGAAATATTTTAATAATCTTTATATTAAATAATTTTAAAATATTTTAATATTTAACTGATTTTAACATCCCCCCTTTAAAACAAACACAAAAATGTGTTTACTAACATCTCAAAACTAATTTAAATCTAAAAATATATTTTAAAGGCTTTAAAGACCCCTCCTGTATAATATCAATTTGATTAAAAAGGCTAAGGAACTTTGTGGGTAACCAAGTTTAACTTTAAATTAGCTTTACTTAGTATACTGCAGTTTTGTAATAGGATATAATTTTTAGTCACAAAGTTATAATCAGGAGAAAAAACCTGCGTAAAACATTTTTACACTCTTTTTTAAAGAGGGTACTATCTAGTATAATTTTAGAAGGGCAGGAGTCAAAAATCAAATTTCAAACTTATGAGACTAAATCACAGTAAAAAAGGTTTAGGATGGTAGGAAAATACGGTTTTAAGAAAGGGATGTGATCTTACTTTAGAACCATCTCAGAAGAACAAGAAGGTAGAAGGGCGAAGACAACGTTGATTAGCGAGCAGGACTAAAGAGCACAAAAGCTTTCACTGTGGTGTTAGAGAATGCACAAGGAGCGATCCTGGAATGCAAACCTGAAGATGAAAGTGTTCTGAGGACAGAATCCCGTGTTTTTAATACCCATATATCATCTAGTCCTATCTACTTTTTATGGGATGTCTGACCCCCAAAGTTGTCACGTAGCAGCCCCCAGGCTCCTGAGGAGCTAGAAGAGAGCTCCTCTGTCTCCTCAACAGTGCGACCACCAGCCCTGGGGTCTCCTGAGACCACCCCCAGGTCCTTTCCTGAGAAATGGCCATGAATAGTAACTGGACGATCTGACTAAATAAAAGCACTATGCAGTGTGTATCCACGATTCTCTATGGAGTTAATTACCACAGTTACTGTAAGCTGTACTGAGTATAATACAAAATATTTTAATAGACTAAATTTTGCAAAAAGTGTATTAATTTAAATGCCCATAGTGGAAGAGAAAGGAATAGGGTTTAAATAAATAAGTCACTCTTCAATATAAAAGCCTCGAATTTAATTGCTTATTTTCCTGCATTCCATCAAAAACACCAGATACGTTCTTCAGCGTTAGCAATTTCTGAGTCTACAACAGTGATTATGGTTTTTAAACTGGTTTTTAAAAATCCAATCCAATTTCAGTGTGGTGCATTTTGAGATGTTCAAATGGCATTAAAAGCATAATCATTTAAAAAATAGTGGAAGCATAAAAGAATATGTGAAATTTACCCAGAATCATGAATCTTAGGCTAGAAAGAATCTATTAGATCATTTAGCCCAACCACTCTTCAAGTGTCATGTAGACCAAAAGCAACCTGTTTTTACGAGAAAACGAGGGGATTGTGCTACATGAATCCTAAGGTCTTTTCCAGCTTAAAAATATGATGATTCTACAAAAGTGAGTTATGTTTGTCACAAGTACATACTTAATAAATGGTAACAACACTATACTAATTCATTAGGTTGAGAAATTAAAAATTACTGGAATAACAAAAAATGGTAAGAACACAATAAGTCATAGGAGATCAATTAAATAAACCATGGAAAACAGAATAAAAACAAAGCTATAAAAAACATGAACATTCAACATGTTTTTGAACAACATGTTTTTCAACAACATGTTTTGAACAACATTCAACAAGGAATTCTGGAAGGTAATATCTGCTTGCCTTCTTTCTCTTTAAGAAGTTACGGGCTTTTAAGAGAGTGTACTATCTAGTATAATTTCACTGACACGATTTCTTAAATTTGTGTTGAATATAAATACTAACACTTGGCACCTCAGAGGTCTGAGGAACAACGTACTGTAAGTAGGTGTTTCCTTTGCTCTTTTTTCTTTAACAACAACAACACAGGGAAAAGATCTTTAGCAACATTTCATCCCATCTTCCCAAAAATAATCAGTTAATACCTTGGAATAAACCATCCAGACACGGTGGACAGATGTAAACAAAAATGGGTTCTCCCAATACATTCTCTTACAAGACAGTTTTTCACCTACAATTGTAACTAACATCTTTCCACATGAATACATATACATATTTCTGAAACATTATTTTAATGGCTACACATTTCATAAGTTATATTTCAAGTTAATTTTTTTCAAGTTAATTTTGAAACAACTACAGTTCCTAAATTAATCACTCAATAGGCAATAATAAAACAAATTATTAAACCTTTTTTATAAATTAATAAAGGTTATTTGGGACTTTACTGCTAAAAGGTAAGGAAGTGTTCTTTACATATACTGGGATATATTAAAAATTACCCATTAAGCTTTATTTAGCTGAGACAACCCCATGAGTTAATTAGTAAAGGACTATTCAAGTTATTAAAGAGAACACAGTGGAAGACTCCCGCTCACACACAGGCAGTAAAGGTCATGACAGCAAGGCATTCTCAGAGACTTCCTCTGTATGTAAAGGTGTCACAGGTAAGAGAAATACGACAAGTCACCCACCCAAAGACCATTCTGCTCTTGCCGCACACAAGTGCAAATGTGATACTTTGTGTTTTCCTGCTGAAAGTATCACTTTTTTGGCAAAAGCAATATTAAAATACACATATAAATTTCACCTGTGAATAATGCAAGACTAAAAGTAAGCTCCAAATTGCCTTACTGATAATAAAAATTTTAAGACGTATTTCAGCTTGAAGCAACCTAAGGCATATTTTCTTCACAAACTAGGAATTAAGAGCGGAAGATAAGCTTCAGACATAAAGCTGTGTTAAACTAACATCCCAGTGCTGAAACCATGACCAGGGTAAACAGACAGTTCCCTTTCCCCTGATAATTAATTTTCTTTAATTTTAAGATGAACCGATTCAAAAAATGTACCTTCCCTCATATTAGCTTAAATTAAAATGGGAGAAAGTAGCATTCATCACCTTAGATGCCTTCCTTGATATTCCCTTCCCTTTTACTTCTTTCAAGAAAACTTTAAAAAACTTTTAAACAGCCTGTGTGTATGTAATGCTTTTTCCAAGTTCACTTGTATTTCCTGTGGACTGTCATCCTCAAATGCTTAGAAAATTCTTAGAAGTTTCAAAACTCACTACAAATTATATTCCTAAATTTGACTAAAGCAGGCCTACTTTATTAATTTGATGCCTCTAACAATAACTATTGCCAATTCATTTATAATCTATATGATTTCAAGATAGGCAATAATAAAATCATTGTGTTGAAATGTCAAAAAGCTCACAAATTTTATCTGACTTTCGTAAGAATGCAAATTATAACAACAGCTGCTTAAATCTATTGTTTATACCAAAAATATCACTGATAATAAAAGCAAGCATGAAACCACAGGCAAAAATAATAATAATAGTTTCTCTGTAGGTACATTCTCAGTATTTTTTCTTAAATACTATAAAAATTTGTTTACAAAAACATGAACAGTATGTAGTACTCCTGGAATACCCATGTAACACAAATTTGCATTTTTCTCCGCTGAAGTCATTTGCACAATCATTCTATCTCAAATTATTAAAGATATGAACTTACAAACAAAGAGGTAAGGGGGTACTCATTATCACATTTACTTAATAGTGCTTAGAAAACAGATGAGGAAGCGGCTATACCCCCCAGGGCACACAACTGTCCAAATCACAAAGATTAATAACACAAGACACAATTAAACTGGCTCATTCTATTAATTTTCGGTAGAAAAATCAAGCACCTGATACAATAAAACTGATTCTGATGGCTTACCATATGAGGTATAAACAAGAGAACTAGAGGAAAATTGTAACACCAACCTTTCTGATCCTTAAAACACTACCTTTAAAATTCCATTTCAAAGTCTCTAGATGTTAATGAAACAGAAGAGCCAAGCCCCAAAGAATAGCTCATCCACCCACCTGAAGTGTAAACCCAAACTCCTTAAAATCAACTTTTAAGGGAGTACCTACCGTAAAATGAAAATTTCACTAGAAGCTGTGATTACAGGCGAAATCTCAGGATATAAACTCAGGAGGGTTTCTGAAAGATGATCACCTGTGCATGACTCTAAGAGACAATTCAGCCAAGAAAAGACAAGGAGGAGGGCAGAGGCACTCTGGACAGACACCAGCACAGGCAAAAGGAGAGAGGCATGAAATACCTTGGAGGCATAAAAAATAGCAAGAAAATGAAAGTAATGAAGCGTGGCTGGGGCAAAAAGCCCTAATTTTATGGCTAGAAACGGAGTCAGAGGGGTAACCAAACACTGGATTAGGAGAGGGCACTGCACAGCACCAGGCAAGGAGATGCGAGTGTTGTCCCGAGCCAAAGGGATTCAAGCAAGAGGATGAAATAACGTGGGTTATATTTCTGACAATTCAGTCTGGCAACACAACACAAAGTACGCAGCACTCACATACCATGGTGACAATGCATACAGGGAACTACGGAGAGAGCCTAAACTCTCAGGCAACGCTGTCCACCAGAACTTTCTGTGATGGTGGAACTGGTCCACACTGTGCTATCCAATGTGGCAGCCACGGGCCACACATGCCTACTGGGCACTTGAAATGTGGCTGGTGTGACTGAGGAACTGGGTTTGTCCCTTTATGTAATTTTAGTTAATTTAAAGTGACACTGCAGGCCCAGTGTGACCCCCAGGTTTAGGGGAAAGATGCTGAGTTCAATTTCAGGCAGCAGGAAAGGAGCGTGAGGACGGCCCCTGCTAATCAGTGGCTGAATGGGAGTCTGGAGCTCCGGGAAGCAGGTGAAGCCGCCTGTGTGGACGAGATCACCCAGAGAATCCACTGAGCAGAAAGGAACTGAGGAACTGAACAGGAAGAGAAGTCTAAGGGCTAGGAAACTCTGTAACAGAGACAAAGAAGAACCCACAGAAAGCACTGAGAAGGAGAAGCCTGCGACGACAAGGAAATTCTCGAGAATCCCGTGGCTTAAGCAAAAGGGCTTCAAGAGGAACGAGGACGAGGGGCAGACAGGCGCAGGGGCACTGGCAGCAGCGGGAGGCCCCCAGGGGACCGGGCGGCAGCGCGCAGCGAGTGAGGCCCTCGTCCAGCGTGGGCAACACTTCCTAACAGCACGGATCCGCCCAACACAACACCAGAGCCCTGCCCGCTAAGCCTGATTCCGAGTCAGCCAGGGGTAAAGCTGAGCGCCTGCCCACAGGCTGTCCTCAAGGGTCTACTTAAATATCCCGCTTTCTAGGCTTAGTTCTCTAGATACTGGGACAGTGCCTGCCTTTTTCTCCCCTCCCACAATACAACCAGTTAATATTTATTCATATTTAAAATTAGTGAATATGAATTTTAAATCCAAAAATTTATTCAGATTTCCAAGTTCAATGGTAAGATTTACAAATTTTCTTTCATAAAAGGAGATGGCAGTCCATTGTTTAATTTTTAAAAATTAAAATAATTCACATAATCCAAAGCTCAAACCATATTAAAAAGTACATGGTTCAAAGTCCACCCTCTCCTCCTCCCTCAACCTCCCCAGCAGAACCAGACGTGTGAGTAATCGCTGCTATGAATTTCTTGTGAACGCTTCCAAGTTTCTTTATGCAAATACACATTCTTACTTTTTCCACCTTTCAGACACAAGAGATAGTTATTCACTGCTCTATATCTTCCTTTTTTTTACTTAAACATATATCTTAGAAATCTTTCCATATCAATGTAGGAAGGGCCTCCAAATTCCTTTATACATCCTGACAATCAATGTTAAACAGAAATTAAAACCTCAAATCCCAACCCTGAAAATAAGAGGGACTAATATGAGCCTGGGAAGAGTTGAGAGTGAGCTATCAGCCTAGGAATTTACTAACCATCTTCTAAACACCTTAAAAAAAGTTCCAAGTAGTTAAAATCTACAACAGTTAAAATAAGCCTATTTGCTCTTTTATGAGCTATGAAAAACATTCTAAATACTCAAAACCTAATATATTTAGGCCATAAATAAAATTCCTGGAGTACTTTCTTAGAGGAAATAGGTGCTGTACTCATAAAATCAAGGCTACATATAAAGCTCCTTTACCATTAAACACCTTTTGGAAGCGGTTCACTGGTAAACCCCAGACCAGGGCAGCGATGCATCAAACCCAGTCATTACTACCCAAAGCAATGGACTTTGTGCTCCAATAAAAGCAAGGGGCCTAGTTCAGCTGCAAGATCCTCAGATCTCACATCCTGCTCTGACGCAATTAGCCCACAGAGAGCTAATCACCTAATCCCGGGCTCGCAGTTTCCCTGGCATCTTGCTGCGTCCGACACTAATAAACACCAGTGAGCGAGGACAGCACCTAATTAGTTGGCTGCGTTAGTGTTTACAAGGCAGCTGCAGGTGATGAGTTCCCTGCATACAGCTCGTTTCAAAGAACGCTTTCCTAGCAAAAGAAACAGCTCTTTTCATGTTACGGGACAGCGTTTTACAAACAGAGGGGACTCTGTCTGGTCACACAGGACTCAGGCACCCACGCGCCTCGCAGAGGGTGGCCCCTCAGTTCCTAGTGGAACCACTACACTCGTCTCACTGCGCTCCTCTGAGCATTGTTCTGTTAAATTCTACGAAACTGCTCAACTGTCACTCAAAACAGAGGGGAAAATATCAATAGTTTAAGGTTACTGTCACATTCATCAGCCACATTTAAATTCCTATGTTTCTTGTCCCTCTCAAGAGTTCATTTCAAAGTTTTGAGCAACAAAAATTTTTCAGGTACCAAAGTAAACTGTCAAGGGCACTCTGACAAAAAGAGTGCTATGAAAAAGCCTAGAGAGACAAGTAATATGTTGGTTCTATCACCCAGGCACGAGTCAGACTTTTTAAAGGGGTGGCCAGGACTAAGCTCCCCTCACCCCAGACAGCACACAAGAGGACCTTCCTGGATTGGTTAACATGTCAAAGACCAGGGAAAGGACTTAAACAGTATTAGCTGGTTCAGAAAAGAAAAAACAAACGAACGTTCATTTTCCATGACACTGGCTGGAGGGAGCGGATGGCCAGCAGAGGGAGGAGAGCCCGCAGGGGACCGAGGCACCCACGCCCAGGAGACTTGCCTGGCCTTGGGTACCATGACTCGGTGCTGCACCATGAGTGTATGGCAGATGGCCGCCATCAGCGTGAAGGCCTCCTCGCTGGCTGAGTCCCTCCAGACCAGGTTTAACAGGGTGTTGGTCTGCTGTTTCGTATCCAACTTTTTCAGACATTCCTCGGTTATGTACGGTACTGACAGTCTACCATCCTCCTAAAACACACCAGATGGGTTAGTCTGAGTTAACCATGTTCTATTAGAACTCCGCTCAACACTACAAAGATAATGTAAAATCTTACTTTCCTTCAACTGAAAACATAAGAAAGGTGTTACCTAAAAATTATCCACATCACAACGAACATATCAGTATCTCTACCAAGTCCCCCGTGAAAGTAAGCTGAAATCCTCTGGAGACCCAAAGTCATTACCCATGGTAGGTGCCAATTTTGCCCAGCATGACAACACAGAGCTGTGAACACTCAGTCTGTGCTTTAATGTGACAGTATGTTTAGTCCTTACAATTTAAGAAAAATTTAATTCATATTTTTCAGATTGTATACTAAGCACACATGTGTGAAAATGTATTACCATCTGATAAAACTTTCATTTTAAATTATCTGAGATACCACAGTTTAAGCCAACTAGGCGGAATATTAAAGAACTTAAAAAGCATCAAATGAAATACACAGACCTGTTATTTTACAACTTAGCGTCCCTAGAATATCTGACTCACCGACTAAAAGCTGAGCTAATACTCGATGCAGTTTACCTATTTGGGATATTAACCAAAGATACTTACTTTTTTCATATATGTACATATATATGAGTATATAAAAATGACTATATATACAACACTGGGTGTTACTGACTGTACTGTTTGGAAACCTGGGTGAATATAACTTATGTAACTTATAACAATCTACCAAATAAAACACAGTATTAGAGATGTAATTAGATATAATGTATTATATTATATATTATATTATATTATATCTAATGTATAGATGTAATTAGATATAATGTAGAGATGTATCTTATATATATATCTTCACTTAAGATACAAATCGCACTTTGTACAGGCACACCTTGGAGATACTGCAGGTTTGGTTCCAGACCACAATAAAGCAAACGTCGAAATAAAGTAATTCACATGAATTTCTTGGTTTCCCAGTGCATATGAAAGTTATGTTTACACTCTGTCGTAGCCTATTAAATACATAATGCAATAGCATTCCGTCTTTTAAAAAAACAATGTACATACCTTAATTTAAAAATGCTTTATTGCTAAAAAATGCTAACCATCACCTGACAACAAACAACTGCCAAAAACCTTCAACGTGTAAAAAATGGAACATCTGAGAAGTGCAATAAAATGAGGTATGCCTATACAAATAAAATTTAAATTTCACAGATTCTCTAGAAGGTTAAGTATTAACAAACTGTCTTCTAAAAACAGAAGTTTTATCTACATCTCATCTATAGGATCCCACTTCTTTTGACCATACAATAAAATTCACACTTTTTGGTGTGCAGTTCTGAGTTTTGACAGATGCAAGAGTTCCAGCACCCACCAAAACTCTGTTTTGTTTCTTTGTAATCAACCCTGTCCTGGTCTAAGCCCTGGCAACCACTCATCTGTTTCCCCCTGTCCTCCTGTTATGGCTTTTTCATCTCTGCTAAGGGAGCCCTGTGCCCTTTCACTCGACCCCCCCAACTCCCACCCCACACAGCACGAGTCACTCTCAAGTGTACTGCTCCTGGGACTAGACTCGGCTCAGCATTAACCAAAGAGAAATTTCCTAACCCCCCAAAAAAATATATCTAAAACCTAGTACAGCCACACCTCAAGCCATTTCCATTGTGTAATTAAGAGAAAAAGACGTCAGTGGCAGACAAATTGTGCGTATAAGCGACATAAAGCTTTTTATTCCTTGAAAATGCACAGTAAACAACGCTTGGTGAGAAGTGGGAGATAATATGTGACACTGTTCGTAAAATGAATTTAAAAACCAATCATAGTATTTATCATCTATAAAATTTGCGAAAATTGACAAAAGATGTTGTGTGCTGTTCACAAGACAGGGTAAGAAGAAACTTAACCTTATTTTTTCTTTTAGGGGCTGAGGAGAAGGAGGAAAGGGACTGACTGTTAATGGATTTGGGGTTTCTCTGTGGAGTGATGAAGATGCTCTAAAATTAGACAGTGGTGATGGCTGCACAGTTATGTTACTATACTGAAAAGTCACTGAATTGTATATTACTCTAAAAGGGTGAATTTTGGAACTTCCCTGGCATCCCAGTGGTTAGGACTCTGCACTTCCACTGCAGGGGGCATGGGTTCAATTCCCGGTTGGGGAACTAAGATGCCACATGCCATGCAGCCAAAAAAAAAAACAACAATATTTTTTAAAATAAATAGATAAAAATAAAAATATATTTAAAAAATAAAAATAAAAGGGTGAATTTTATGGTGAAGTGTATCTCAATAAAGTTATTTTTTAAAAATTCTTTACAAAAAGAAAAAGTAGAACAGCGCCTGACACACAGTAGGTGCGCTTCCTGAGAACTATAGCAGCTTAACCCTTTAACCCAATCATTTCACTCCTAGGAACTATGTCCTAGTAATGATCGAACTAATATACAGGATGACCTATTTTACATTAAAAAGCCAAACACAAAACCATGTGTCTCCACATAACCTTGTACAGACGTAAGGAAAAGGTATGGAAGAGCTCGTGTCCAATCATGAGGACGGCTCTCTCTGGGGAAGGGCACGATGGCAGTGTAGGTGAGGGGCCCTTATCTCTACAGCTGAAGGTTTTACAATAAGAATGTCTTGATGTATTACTTATATAACTAGAAATAAGGACGGACACAAGCTTTTGACTTCCGACGTCAACATGAAGCTGGGCTCGGACGCACAGGGCCCGGGAGCTTACTGGAGCACTTGTCTGCGTGTCTGTCTCTCCACTCTCGTCTTCAGAGTCGCTGGCTGAATCCTGACAGCTTGTGTTGGCAGGTGAAACCGGCAACCGAGAAAGGAGGGTCTGGAGGACGCTCAAATACACTAGCAGTCCCTCCTCAGACAGGGTCCCTTTGTAAAACAACCAGTTACAACCGTTAATTAAAAGGGATCAAAAAGAAACTGGAAAACTCAGGTTCACATTTTTCCTGTACTCAGGGAGGCATTTCTGACCAGGACTTATATAGATGTGTGCATTAAAATATACTAGAGGAAGATACCAAAATTCTACAATAGGCACATGAGCAGTTTAGCATGAATGGGGAAAACATCCCCGCATTCCCAGGAGTTCTCCCGTTCAACTCAAAAATTCTTCTTAATCTGTGTGGCCTTATAATATGTATTTAAAGCAGACTTTTTCATTGTGCCTGGAAACCTTCCCCAGGGACACTGCCCAGGCCACAGTCCTTCAGCAAATACACCCTTCCAGAAATCCCTACCCCAGAGGCCACCTCGACAACGGGACACCCGCCACCACACCCCGTGCTCTTACGCGCTAATACCACCTCCATGTGAGTTCGCGTAAGACACATCTTGCATTTCATACCCAAATAATTTTCACCAACAGTTAAAACAAAGTAGAAGAGCCACGGCGCTCCACCACTGGTCTTGGAGCGTGGACCCTCTATGGACAACAGTGCATTCAGGAAGGGCTCATAGGGGAAGACGGTCTGCACGTCGGCCAAGGCAGGAATGACAAAGTGGAAGACCTGCTCCGTGAAGGGGGCTGCCAGGACCTCCTTCGTGAAGGCTGTGAAAACTTGTTGCCTTAAAAAGAAAAATGGAAGCTTTTAATAAAACCAAAACACACTGTTCACAAAATCATTGATTCAAATCACTGGTCACAAAGTACCTTCCTAATAATGTTAAGCTTTCAGCGTCAACTAGATTCCCCTGAACTTCATGTTGTGTCTTTCCTATAAAAAACACTCGGCCGTGTTTTTGCTAACTTTTGATAGCTACTAGAGAGCAAGAAAATAACCAGGTCATCAGAATTATAAATTTATGTTAGGGTGCAGGACAGACAGAAAAAGTACATTTTTCTTTAAACTGAGTCACACTAATAAAGCAAAAATTTGACTTTCAAGTCTATATTTAACAGGGCATCCTATGTCAAAGTTATTGTTGGATACATACGATCTTGTGAAATTACAAAATCAATAAATTGATTCCATTCTCACCTTGCACCTTCTGGACAGGAGTTGTAAGTAAAGTGCAATGGTTTTAAAACATTCTCTAGCAAAATTTTTGCTATAGGAACTCGAGATAAATCAGAATATTCAATACTTGATGGAAGCTTGCTGTTAATTAACAAATAGAGAGATCTATAATACCCTAAAAGAAAAGAAAAACATATTTATAATTTGTTATCAATTCATACCTTTTCTTATAAGGAGGGGAAAAAAAACTTGTCAATTTTTAAATGCTTTTTACAAATCTCCACAGGTGCAACTTCAAGCTAATTTTTCTTCACGTTTTCATTAAGAAAACCTCCAGGCACCCACGAAGCTTGAAGTGATGCATAAAGTCCACGTACCCACTACCCAGCACCAACAATTATCAAGTACAGCCAGTCGTCTACGCCTCCACTCATTTGGAAGCAAATCCAAGAAATAATTATCTCAGTATATCATCAAAGGACTTTATTTTTCTTAAAACTACCATCATCACAGCTAAAATAAATTAGTAATAATTCTTCAATACCACAAATACCTATCACTGTTCAAGTCTCCAACTGACTCACGTTATAAATTTTATTTAACTAGTTTGCCTGCATCAGGATCCAAGTAAATCCCATACACTGTGATTTTTAAAATGTCTCTTAAGCATCCTTCAAGTAATTAAGTCGTTCTGTGGTTTTTTAAACAATATCACGTTGAACCCAGGACTTTAACCCCGGGGTAGACTTGCACCCGTCGCAGCTGTTCTCCTTGCTGATACTCGTGATCATCATCGTACTGCTGATGGGCTGCAGTCAGGTGAGCATCTCTGCTCCCTGATGCGACAAGATGGCCCAGTCTCACCTTCCCATCTCCCAATCAGGACCAGGGACTCTTAAATCCCTTTTAAAGGAAAGGATGCCTCTGGAGACCACCATGTGGGCACTGAGGGATTCACATGTTTTAAAGACGACCTCTATGAAGCAGAAACACCTGGCATGGCCTTTCTAAGCTGCTGATGGGCTTTCTAGGGGTACGGTGAACATAACTCTGCCGCCACTAACAACTCAGGTCACGCAGTCCTATAGAAGCGTGTGCCCCCTTCCTGCACGGCAGTAAGAGCATCTTCGGGCGTAGTCTGCAGGCATCCCGTTACTGTAAGCTCACGCTAACACGCTCTCCACCTGCTTGGTTTGCTCCCTCCAGTTCCGCACCCGACGTTCGGTCGCTGAACGGCGAGTCTCCGCACGAATCCCCAGACCTGCTCTGCCACCACCCCAGCTCTAACCTCACACACACTGATCACCAGCGACGTGCAACAAGAAAGCCTGAAAGCTCTTCTGCTATAAAACTGAAAAGACGTAAATACATCAAGAAAAAATTTTAAAGTAGCGTATTATTAATATATTAACACAAATATGTGTAGATTGACAGCATGAACAGAGCATTAAGTAGTTTAGCTGCAATTGTTAAAACGCTTCACGTTAAGTCAACATACAGTGCACAATAACATGAACTAGTAAATGAACACGATGCTAAAACATTACAGAAAAGTAATGTCAGGAAGTAATTTATCAGAAAAGATGAAACATGGCTATACCACAGACACTGGAAGCAGCACCTTCTGTGTAAGATTTTGAAGCATCTCCTAGTTCAAGACACATTTTAAAATAATGCATATTTCTTAGTTATCATCTTTACACTTTTGAAAGCAAGAAGGGTAAAAATTCTCACTGAATGCTTAGTCTTTTTTTTTTTTTTTAAAGAAGATGTTGGGGGTAGGACTTCAGTAATTTATTTTATCTATTTTTTCTGTCTTGGGTCTTCGTTTCTGTGCGAGGGCTTTCTCAAGTTGCGGCAAGCGGGGGCCACTCTTCATCGTGGTGCGTGGGTCTCTCACTATCGTGGCCTCTCTTGTTGCGGAGCACAGGCTCCAGACGCGCAGGCTCAGTAGTTGTGGCTCACGGGCCCAGCTGCTCCACAGCATGTGGGATCTTCCCAGACCAAGGCTCGAACCCGTGTCCCCTGCATCGGCAGGCGGACTCTCAACCACTGTGCCACCAGGGAAGCCCATTAATTTGCTTTTTAGAAGATCAAATTCCACAAATTTCAATTTACTTTTAATTAACTCAGTAGTTTCCCTAATTTTTCAATGAACTAAGTAGGGTTTCTTTATTTTTAAAACTAAACCAAACAGTAAGGTTGGATGTATAAGAATTTAATTTCTACAGTTTTAATCCTGAGAATTAAATTAGCTAGATTTAACCAGTCAACAGATTAGTCCATTTCAAAAAAAAACCAAAGCAAAATTATTTATGTTTTTATCAGTCACTGTTGCTTTCTAGAACACCCTACAGCCCCCTTCACGGCTCACAACATGCCCACTCTAACGTTAATGCTCCGAAGTCCAGGAGCCCTGCAGCACCTGATTTTTCCACCTGTGAGAACACCGGAGTCAGATTTTTGTTGTTGTCCTTGCTGGCCACGCCACGCGGCTTGTGGGACCTCAGTTCCCCAACCAGGGACTGAATCAGGGCCCACGGCAGTGAAAGCACAGAGTCCTAACCACTAGGCCACCAGGGAATTCCCTGGGAATCAAATTTTTTACTTTATGTTACTTAATTATCATAGAAGTTTTAAAAATCATATGCCCTTCATGGTCTTTCTGCCGGCAACACTAACACGTTCTCAGAGGAATTTCAGATCTAGGTTATTATACCTGACAGAATGCAGTCACTTTAAGACGTGTGTCACCGAGTTAATAAGAAAATTCAAATAAATCGAGCACCTTCCTCTCCTCTACTGAACTACTGTGATTCCTGGGACAGGCTCTTCCCGGGTCGGTGTGGCACTGTGTTTGCGGCGTGACTGTGCCCACCACCCGGGCCGCGGCACTCAGCCAGGGCAGCCAGGCCTGCACTGTGGGCCCAGAGCACCTGGAACAACTTCCGACAGCAGACACTAACTTACTTCATTTTCAAGCAACAGGAAAAGTGCGGTAAAGATATCAGACACATTTCCAAATTCTGAGTGTGGGTAGAGACGAGGACAGATGTTAGAATCTGTGATTCACACAACGCTTCCCACCCCCAAAGGTGCCCTGGCTGGTGCCGACTGCTCACGACCACGCCACCCCCCAGTTCTTATACCGCTCACTTACCATTCTGAATCATGTAGTGCAAAATTTGTTCAATCACGGACACCACATAGCTAGCATCTTGTAAAACAGGCAGATAGGTGTTCTCGGAGGAAAACACCTCAAGCATTCTCATTGGAAGAGCAACATTCAAACTGTCATCATTACAGTTCTGCAGTAACCTGTAAAAACGAAAAAAAAAGTATTCACATACTTACTAGATGGCAAGTGTCACCGCAAGTTTCATCAAATTCTTCTCTTCGCTACGGTAAGTGTTCGAGCCATTCTGTTCTAGCACTACAATATCCCTGAAAACAGACGCGACTCCAAGACAGACGGGAAATAACCAAGCATCGTGTCACTGACACTTTTTTTGAGTCCTTATTATGTGCCAAATAGAATGATGGCGCCTGGTTTAGAGAGGAAAAATGCACCATCAGAGAGGGAGAAACAGACAAGGAAAATCAAAGATCACCAATGCCGTGTGGGAAGGGTATGATCCACTGACCTAAGCTACATCTAATACAACTCAGATAAGCATCTTTCCACAAGTGTCTGCAAGACTTTCCATGCCCACAATGTCCCCCAAGAAGAACACTTAGTATATTTCTGATCCTAAGTCATCTAGCATTTTGAGTAAAGACTCCCTTCTTACTATGAGAATTACAGGCAGAAAGGAAGGCTTAGCTGTCACAAAACTAAGTCTTACTTAATTAAAAACAGAGAATGTCTTTTTTTTTAACATCTTTATTGGAGTATAATTGCTTTACAATGATGTGTTAGTTTCTGCTGTACAACAAAGAGCTATATGTAAACATATAACCCCCCTCCCTCTTTTCTTAGAATCAGCTTTATAGGACACAATTTACACATGATAATCTGCACTCATTTAAAGTATGCAACGCAATGAGCTCTGACATTACCCCACAATGAGGACACAACACATCCATCCACCGCTTCCTCTCGGCCTTCTCTAGTAACTTCCTCCCTCCAACTCCCCAACCCCCAACCCATTTCTTCTGTCACATAGACTAGTCTGCATTTTCTACTATTCTCTACAAGAGGAACCGTACGGTAGGTACACATTAATGTCTAGATTCCTCGCTCGGCATCTTTCTGAGATTCAACCAACATGTTAAAAACACGGTCCTTTTACTGCTAGTAGCATTCCACAGCATAGGAAGACCATGTTTTGGTTATGTATTCATATGCTGATGGACACGAGTCATTTCCAGACTTTTCTCGTTATAAATAAAGCTGTATGAACGTTCAAGGATAGCATGTGTGGACCTGTCTCATTTCTCTTGGGTAAATTCCTAGGTGAGGAACCACTGGGTCACATGGTAGCCGGACAGTATTTAACTTGACAAGAAACCGTCCAGTGTGAAGGGCAGTATGTGAGAGTCCCAGCTGCTCCGTACCGGTAACACTTGGTATTAACCCTTTTTCAAGTTTTAGCCAAGCTAACGGCTGCATACTGAACTTCACTGGGATCTGAATTTGCATCTGTGATTACTTACGATGTTGAGTACCTTTTCAAGTGCTTATTGTTCATTGTGTGTCTGCTTTTCAAAAGTGGGCCCTTTGTTTCTTGAAAACCCAAGAACACTGTCTGTGCCCACCCAGGCCGCACCCGCCTGGCCCTCCTTCCGCCGAGCTCCAGCAACCCCTTCCCCAGCGCCCATTTCCCCTCCCACCTGGATGCTGGATAAGCACACTCTCAGGTTTCCCACCTTAGTCTCCAGACCCCACTGCCTCACCCACTCCTGGCCCACGTCCCTGCCCCTGTGCAGAGCTCTTCACCATTCACAATTCCTCTTAAGCCCGAGCCAACCGGCCCTTCCCCACCGCTGCTCTCATCAAGGTGACCAACGGTGCTACGGCGGGGAAAACCGCCAGACTGTGAAATGGGCAGAAAAGACTGGTGGCCGGCCCAGCTCACTCACTGTGTTACCCTCCATCCTCGCCTTCCACCAGGCTGATCTACAACTCCGTAGAGACAGAAGCTAACTTGTAGAAAACTGACAGGAATGCAAATGTTTCCCATACAGAGCGACACAAATTATTCCTGTTCCTGGCAATGCAAAAGGCTTCTGCCAGAGAATATAAATTCCCTAAGGCAAATCCTTATTTGAATCAGTTGTAACATCTCGGTTCCCTCCTTAATTAACCAGTTAAATAAAATTACTGACACGTGTTCACAGGGAATCCTGATTTTACCTTTCCCGGAAAACAATACTGAGCATTACCGACTCCATGGTCAACTCTCTGACTCCGTTTATGCTGGTGGCCGCTTCCTGACCGCCCCTCCCCCCTCCCCCGTGCTCTCCCTACTTGGATGCCAGGGCCCTGGACTCTCCTCCTCCATCACCAGCTCCCCCTCTTCCCCACAGCATCCTGATGTCAGGGGACCCCAGGGACCAGTCTCTGGTTCTCTTTCTACACAATTCATTTAATCTCATGCGTGTTTATGTTCCTTAGTGTTTAAAACGACTTCATCCTTCTAAATGCTCAAACCAAAAGCTGGTATGCATCCTTGGCTTTATTTTCTGAAACCCCACATCCAGTCTGTAAATCCTGTGCACTCTAGTTTCCAACCAACTTCATGACACTCCCACTGCGATCACCATGGCCCAAGACACCATCATTTCTGGAATGAACCACTGCTGTCTCTTACGGATCCCCGTCTCTGCAGCACACTAGTGAGAACAGTTCTAGAAAAACATAAATTGGAGATGCAGGGTGGCAGGGGCTATTCCAGATGAAAAGATTCAAGAGACATCCAAGGTTATGTGTGGTCAATTAGAGTTTATTTTTTTAAAAGAAGAAAGAAAGAAAAACAGCTATTCAGTGTAATTTGAAAACAAGAGAAATCTGAAAATGGACGTGGTATTAGACCAACCTGAGTCATTTCTAAGTACAAGGGCTGCTATTACTGGGATTGTCAAACTAGACTGGTTGCCCTAGTGACAGTTAATATTACTCTCAATCATTTTTAAAGGTGTACTAATGAAACTCTTGTTTGCAGGAGTGTCCTTCTTTGGGGAGATAGCCACTTAAGTATTTTGGGAGTGGGAAGTCACTATGTTACTTTGAAATGATTCAGCAAAATGTTAACAGTGGTCAACAATGTTAAAAACAGTCGACTCTGGATGGCAGGCAGATGACCACTTACTATGCCACTTTTCTACTCTTTTATGTTTGAAAATTTCATAATAAAAACATTATAAGAGTCAGGGAAGAAAGAAAATTCCAGTCATGTCACCCTTGGCTCAGAACTCTCCTTTGGCGTCTCTCTTCTCTCAGCATGAAAGCCCAAGTCCTAAAGAAAGTACCTTCCAGGGCTTTCCTGGTGGTGCAGGGGTTAAGAATCCACCTGCCAATGCAGGGAACACAGGTTCGAGCCCTGGTCCGGGAAGATCCCACACGCCACGGAGCAACTAAGCCCGTGCGTCACAACTGCCGAGCCTGCGCTCTAGAGCCCGCGAGCCACAACTACTGAAGCCCGCGTGCCTAGAGCCTGTGCTCCACAATGAGAGAAGCCACTGCAATGAGAAGCCCGCACACCACAACAAAGAGTACCCCCCCACCCCCGCTCGCCGCAACTAGAGAAAGCCCGCGTGCACAGCAACGAAGATCCAATGCAGCCAAAAATAAATAAATAAAAAAAAGCAAGTCCTTTCCAGATCCTGGGATGTGCCCGGAGGGTCCTCCCTCTGCCTCCCCACCAGAGCCTGGGGAGACTCTGGTCCCTGCACAGCTGTCCATCCTCCCCGCTCAGGGCCACCCTTCCCGCCAGACTCTCTAAAGTCAAACTACACCCCAAATTTCAATCCCCCTTTCCTCCTTTTATCCTCCTCATTATTTACCGTTTATTTCTGTCACATAAAGACGTTCATACGTTACTTATTCTTGCTTATTCTCAGTCTCCCAGAAGACAGTCTCCAGGAGAGCAGGTCCCTTCTCTGCCTGTCACAGTCACATGCAGTGCTGGGAACTGGGCCAAGCACTTAGGAGGAACCCCATAAACTTTTTTAATCAACGAAGTTATTAACTGATTAGCCAATCCCAATTTTGTTCCTAATGGATGCTCACATAAGAAAAAATGTAAGTAATGTCAGTATTTATTACTTTTTAAAAAAATTATCTTTATTTTCAAAATAAATTTACTGAAGTTGATAAGCAGCTGTTTGCAAACAGTGTTAGCACTAAATAAAAATGACAGAAAGTGTGTACTCTGAGAGCTGTACTAGATGCCAACAATGACCCCTGCACCGTTAGAGCCCTGAGCCCTGAATGGTGCTTCCAGTGTCCAAGGAAAGGCAAAAAGATGGCTCTGAAGGATGGAGGTGACCAGGAGACCATTTGCTTTTAAGCAGAGGTGAACCCATCAGTCCAACCACCCAGCAGAGCACTGAAATCCTGGGCCTGGAAGGACCAGTCTCATCCAATGTTCCTCACTTTAGAATGAAGCTGAAAACGAGATCCAGTAACTTGCGTCATGCCCTAAGCTGGCAGGACACAGAGGCAGCACTAGAATCCAGCCTCCTGACCTCTACTTCATTACTGTACTGACCCGAGTTCCGCTCATCCTCAACTCAGGTGCCATCGACGTCCGTGTTATCTGTTCACTCACGTATTTTATACACAATGAGGTACATCATCTCTTTCACATAAAACTACTTTTCTAGCTCTGAAAAAGTTATCTTAAATTCCCATGGAGACCAAAAGAGTGGAAGAAAGCACACGTCCCCTCCTCTGGTAACTTGCCAAAGCACCTAAAGTTCAATGCCCTGCACACAGCAGGTAAGATCATTCACTGGTTTATTAACATCACACACTTGAAATAAAGTTTCTAACAGATTTCTATTTTAATTTTACTTCGTTAAAACTTCATTCCTCCTCTAAAGGAACCAGCTTCCTTAGAGAAAACAGCCCCAACCTGGGGCTTTCAGGGGAGGTGTTAAATAGAGCCCAACATAGTGTGGTCCCAGAAAGCAAAGATGCTTCAAAACACTAATGGGGCTCTGATAAGGGCTCCCTCTGCCCAGCATTTAAAAATACATGAGGCCTGACTGAGACTAAAGAGAAAAGGAGGCAGGGTCTTCTTCAGAAATAAAGCCAAATAACAAACACTGAAGAAACAACAGAATTAGAAAAATCAGCATTTTATAAACCATGGATATAACAACTGATTCAGGCGTAGATCATCAAATGCAAAAACAAACCACTGGGTGAAAGGTGGTACTCTAATGACACGGAAGGAAATGTACCTGCACAATATAGAGAGGAGTTTTTACTTTCACTCAGCCTCACTGAGCATGGGCTATGTCTCATGTGGGGCACTAGGGCTCTCACAATTACCTGCTATGAAGCATTCTTGTTGAACACGCTTAAACTGAGTCAAGTACAGCCCGATGGCAGTGGTTCTCATGCGGGCAACACTCGGCAGTGTCTGGAGACCTGTGTGATCAAGTGGGTGCCACCTGCATCAAGCGGGTGCAGGGCAAGGATCCTGCTAAACGCCCTACAACACACAGGACCACATGCACAACACAGAATGGTTCAGCCCCAAACATGAAGAGGGTGTGGTTGAAAAACTCTCCTCTAGAACTGACAGCCAATTTAAAGGAAAGAGAGGAGACAAAGGAATAAGTGAAACAAATGGAGCCTAGGATCATCAAAACAGAGAAGATATTTTTGAGATAACTCGGGAAATCTGAATATGGAGTGTGTATACCACATGATATTAAGAGAATTACTATTCATTTTCTTAGATGTGAACGCAGCATTACGGTTATCAGAGAGTGTGCTTTCTTAGGAGAAGCACAGTGAATCGGGTGAAGCGTCATGATGTCTGCAACTTACTTTTACATGCTTTAGAAAAACAACACACTGTACGTGTGGAGAGAGAGAGAAAGCAAATGTGGCAAAATGGTAACTTTTGAATCTAGGTGGAGGATATATGGTATTCTTTCAACTTTACTGGTGTTAGAAATTTTCCAAAACAAAAAGTTGGGGAAAACAAGGAGAAATTACATTTGGATTTATCATCTATTAAGATTACTTGCTAAATGAATACATTCGAAAGGACATTAAGTGTCCACCAACTATAACCCGTGCGCGGAACCAGCCACAGGCTGTGTGGCTCTCAGGTGAAGGGTGCTCCTGACACCTTTAAAAGCTTGTAAGAAAAAACACAGTATGCGTAAGAGAGGCCACACTTCATGCCATCTGGGTGTTTACAGAAAACGTTTGCTGACTCCCGCTCCAGCGAATCAACGCGTACAATGTGTTTTTCAAAGTAAAAGTTTTTCCAAGAAATAAAAGGGGTTTGAAAAAAAAAAGATTTCTTGGGATGGTGATCTTCCAGACTCTCTCTCTTCATAAAGGTTCTTCTCTACCTTTAGTCCAGCTCAGGATTCTGGAAGTCAGTTAACAAGGCCTAGCTCTGATAGCAGTCCTAAATAAACCTTACTACATGCAACTTCCAGAAAATTAGCTGAAATTATATTAAAGGCTCAGAATCATTTGAAAGTTTGCTACTGTGCAGATACCAGCAATTTTGAGAAAAACAGTGAAGATGTTAATTTGTTTTCTCATTCAGGTACTACTGCTCACATCACCTAAATGTGCTTTGTAAACTGAATCCAGCAAAGTGATGGAAGTGACTTATTTCAAGTCCATACATAAATCACAAGAGCCTGATGAAAGGCCTGCTCTAAAACGCCTGTCCCCGAGGGTAGGACCCTAGGAGAATGGGAGCCTGCCTCCTCACAGCAGGAGTCCCTTCAGGTGGCCCATCCACTCGCTAGCAACCAGGACCCCTGATATCCCACAAGATAATTCCAGAGCCTACCTGAAAGAAAACATCATCTGGAAGGTATTTATATCTACATTTTAATTTCTACAGGGAGAAGAGTCACAGGAGTGAAAACTGTAATACATAGAACATTCCAGTCTCAAAAAGAAAAAAAAGGGAAAACCACTGTCACAGACACTGAAAACCAAAGGGTATATTCCTCAGGACAAAGTGACCACCACATTGCACAAGTTGCTGACAATGATGGGTTTACCTGCAACAGAGGCTCATCAACCTCTTTATTTGAAATAAGCACGTAAGTCTCTCAGATCCATCCAACTGCTGGACAAACAAAGAGCTGTATTTAATTAGGTTCTGATACATCCATATCTGAAAGAAACAGCAAAACATACAATTATAACTCTCAGTCCATAAAAAGCTAATTATTTACTAATTACAAACATACCAAAATTTCCTTAATTGGTAAATACTTAATCAAAATAATCGAAACATGCTAAGAAGAAGTAAATCTTCTAAGTCGGGTTTTAGGTAGTAGCACACACGTCCTGAACCTTCCACCTTAAGAAAGCACATTGGCACAGAGTTAAATTACTACATTTATCACTAAAAGTACTTAAAACTCATGGAAGTGTGAAGCAGAAAGTTCATTTGCAAAACTCAGCAAACCACAATAAAAACATTTGAGAATCACCATCTCAATCATAAGTTACGAAGGATAACAGTTCCTTCTTTTTACCTTTCTCCTCTGAGTTTCCAGCACCTTTCCTGTGGATACTCTCCTTCCCTAACTCCATGAAATTTCGGTAGCAAAGGCAATCATTCAGTCCCACTATTCCCGATAAAAGGCCAGGTGTGTAGCATGTGAGGCGAGAGATGTGTCACTTAACTAGACAGGAGGAAGCCTATCACAATGTTTATACAAACCATCGCAGTGCGCACCTGAAGTATCTTACAATTTTATTTGTCAATTATACGTCCACACGGCTGGAGGGAAAAAAGGTCAGAGACGCATCTGGATGACCAGAACCCCCGCTGTCCCGGACACGGTGATGGGCCATTGCGGTGGGCAAATGCTGAGTTAGATTTCTGTCGAGCTCCCATCCAGGAGGCCTCTCTAGTGTGGATACAGCTACCGGAAGTGACTTTGAAAACACAATACCAAACAGGAATCTCTTATACTTCCTCTACGATATTTTTGTTGCTATTTGTTCATTTCATGAGACCCATTTAGAAGCGTTAAAATTAAGACAGCTTCTTAAATGTGCCACAGAACCTTTTCTTTACCTGTCATTTTTACAGAGTTTCTCCTCTGAGAGTAACACTTATTTGATATAAAATGTTATCAAACAATTAAAGTACTAACACATGTGTTTTGCATGATAAATTCGAGTGTGTCCTAACTTGGGTGGAAATAACTCCGAGACCCAATCCGAATGTTAGTTTACCTACACACAATCTTTCTTCTTGAGGTATTTGGAGCTACTTGTTCATACTTTCTCAGGAACCAATATCATACGAATATTTTCTGCACTATGTGACACGCAGTTCATTCTAGAATTTGTACTGAATACCCATTAACAAATAAAACTAGGATGTACAGTGACTGAACACTATAAAAATCTGAAGGCCAACTGTAGGAAGTACAAGAATAAGGCTGTAAATACATTAGTCAAGTAATTACGTTTCAACGACATAAAAAAAAACCCTCAAAGCACTTTATTTGAACACTTTCTGGACTGGTTTTTTTTTTTTAATTGAGGTATAGTTGATGTGCAACATTATATGCTTCAGGTGTACAACACAGTGATTCACCATTTTTAAAGGTTACCCTCCATTTACAGTTATTATAAAATATTGGCTATATTCCCTGTGCTGTACAATATACCCTTGTAGCGGGCTGGATTTTGATACTGCTTTTTACATTCTTGACAAATGCACCGATACCATCCCACAAGTTCTAAGTGCATTACACATATGCTTTACCTAACTGTTTGCTGTTATTTACTAAATTCAGATAAGTACAGTTGCAAAAACTTTCCGTCTTATCCATCCTTTCTCAGGAAGTTAACTGAGGCTATGTATCAATAAAACAAGGGAGTAAACCAAGAAAGCAAAAAGATATGGAATCAGGAAAGAGGAACTGAAACGGAAGCAAAGCAAAGCGGAGGTTTTCCCAGGAACATGGCAGGCGCGGAGAGCAACCACTCCAAACTGTGCAGCAAGTTCCCGGGACGCAGAAGGAACAGCTCAGCGGGGAAAGAGCACCAGTGACCTGACCCTCTAGTCACGGAAAACTGTACTGAGAATTATTTTACTGTCAGGAGGTGGAAGAAGACTTTATCATAAAGAGACTCAAAGATAATTAAACAGAAATGACACAACAATTCACTCTAGAGTAACTCAAGAAAACTGTACACAAAAGAAAATACAATCACGGTACACTATTTTAGCGACCATATTTACAGTCATTATAATAAAAAATAAATCAAGGGGGTGGGTGAGGAAGGGAGAGCCATATACGCACACTTTTACACAGAGCACCTTAGAAAAACTATCAAAAGTGGCATCACGCCTGCTCTTAAAGTAGGAATTAGGGTCCTTGAAGATGGGCAGGAGACTTTCCCTCCACATATGACTGATTATTGTTCTTGCATTTTTCTGTGCAAACTAAATAAACAATCCAGTTTGCTTTTCTCATATAAACCAGGTTTGAGGACCTGGTTAATTCTAATCCTACACAGGGCCTGTAGGACTGGGCAGCTGCGCCACGTCCAGAAAGCATGCAGGAACCACTGACCAGACCTCAGAGTGGGGCAGAAGCAGTTCTCCAAAGGGAAGGGTGCTCTGGAGAGACAGAGGACTGACGGCCCTTCTGACCCCCACATGGCTGTGCTCCACGTCTGACCTTCAATCTGCAAGGTCAGAGTACATGAGGAAGGAACAGACTGCTCCAGAAAGAGAGCCAGATGACCTGCTGCTGTACGTTTCTCATTCTTCTTCTCACAGGCTTCAGATAGAAAGCCTAGAAAGAGCCTGCCTTTAGGGGACATGGGCTCGAGCCCTGGTCCGGGAAGATCCCACATGCTGCGGAGCAACTAAGCCCGTGCGCCATGACTACTGAGCCCTCGCTCTAGAGCCCGCAAGCCACAACTACTGAGCCCAAGTGCCACAACTACTGAGCCCAAGTGCCACAACTACTGAAGCCCGTGCGCCTAGAGCCCGTGCTCCGCAACAAGAGAAGCCACCGCAATGAGAAGCCCATGCACCACAACGAAGAGTAGCCCCTGCTCGCCGCAACTAGAGAAAGCCTGTGCGCAGCAACGAAGACCCAATGTAGCCAAAATAAATAAATTTAATTAATTAATTAATTAATTTCAAAAAGAGCCTGCATTTAAGGAAAGCCATCTTTACTGCCTCTAAAGATTTATGGAAAGTTCTTCCCATGGTCCAGCCCAGCTCAATACAGGAAGCAACGTTGGGTGTTAAAGCCAAACACCAGATAAGCGATAAAGTATTCCTATGTCTTCTGTACTTACAGTCCACACAAGGATCCTTCTAGTACGTACGGTTGGAGCATGGAAGACTTACTTTTCACTGTATACCCATGTTTTAATTAGAAATTTTTAATCCAGGTAAATAAGGATGTCTAAGAATAAATACATATTTAATCTAATGAATCTCAGTATTTCCTGGGAAAGTGGACACAGCAACAAGTTCCACTTTATAAAGATGATTCATCCACGTATCTCCTCCGTTAACACACACCGGTCCTCATCACTGATAACATCAAAACCTATAACATTTTTTAAGTTACACAATTGTATTTTAGATGTTTCAAGAGAGAGACCCTAGAGTTCAGAGATTTACATTTCAGTATTTACAGGTAACAAACAGGCTATGACACCGAGGATGCACGTCCCAGGGATGGAGGCACAGGGTGGAGGGTTCTGTGCAAAACAAGGTGCTGCCTGTGCGTACTGGGTAACGGGGGCGGCACAACAGAGTAGCCTACTGTTTCTTATATGTGAAATTTGCCTTAATAAAAACATGAAAAAGCCTACTGAAAATCTGTATCGATTTTTAAGAGGTAAAACATTATCACCAAGACGACCTATCACCACTGGCTGAGGAAGTCACAAGGGTGACACGCGCTGGAGGGGTTTCTGATCCCATTAAACCAAAAGCTGGAAAACACGTTAACAAGGGTTAGTGAAAATGTAGTCAACACTCACCAAGCGTTTTGAGTCTTCATTCTGTTTGTAAAAAAACAGAAGCTGCCTCACCAAAAGGGTAAGGGTGGGACCGTTGGCGATGGAAAAAGTGCCACCGGACTGGGACAAGCTGGCCCGGCGGTCAAATGCACTTCTCTGGATGGAATACTGAAAACAAAACAAAACATAAAGACAGGATCACATGATCGTATGTATGGTCTAAATGGTCACTCAGGGTTTAAACTGGAGTAGTGGAAACGGACAATTAAGATTCCGTTACTGAGAAGTTATCATTGGTAAAGGGTTAATGAAACCCGAAAAGCCTGGAATGTAGTGACAGAGCCATGAACGCCCTATGCAGGAGTCTTCCATCACCTCCTTCTACTGTGATCTTTAGCCGTGGTTTGGCCTATGTTTGCATTTAATAATTTAAAAATCACCAAAAAACTCATCTGTCTATAAATCTTTATATAAACTAATAAAATTAACTATTGGGGAAAATACTATTATCCACATTAACTTTCATTAAACAAGTACACACAAAAACACATACAAAATGAATTCCACTTCTAAGAATCCAAGGCCATATTTAAAATAAGCTCTCAGGGCTTCCCTGGTGGCGCAGTGGTTAAGAATCCGCCTGCCAACACAGGGGACAAGGGTTCGAACCCTGGTCCGGGAAGATCCCACATGCCGTGGTGCAACTAAGCCCATGGGCCACAACTACTGAGCCTGCGCTCTAGAGCCTGCAAGCCACAATTACTGAGCCCACGTGCCACAACTACTGAAGCCTGTGCGCCTAGAGCCTGTGCTCCGCAACAAGAGAAGCCACCGCAACGAGAAGCCCTTGCACCGCAACGAAGAGTAGCCCCCGCTCGCGGCAACTAGAGAAAGCCCGCGCGCAGCAGTGGAAGACCCAACGCAGCCAATCAATCAATCAATCTATTAAAAAATAAAAATAAAATAAGCTCTCTCATACCTTTCTAATTCCTTCTCAGTTTAAAAACAAACTTACTTGCTGTTTTCTGTCTCTATAGCCTCGAATAAATGACTGGATAATTATTGCATTTTTCAATCTTCGTCTTTCTTCCTAAATAATGCAGGGAGGAGGGAACAATGGGTCAGAATCAGTGAAAATGACAAATACTAGTTCAGACTCAAAAAAAAAAAAAAAAGCTACATACATAATTCACGTACCACAAAATTCACTCTTTTAAGTGTACCATTCACCAATTTTTAATATACTCAAAGTTGTGCAATCATCACCACTGTCTAATTTTGGAACATTTTCATCACCCATCCCCAATAAAACCCCTGTACCCAGGGGTTTTACCCAGTCATCCCTCATTCTCTGTCCTCCCACCCCGACCCCCCAACTGCTGGCAATCACTAATCAATTTTCTGTCTATATGGAACTGCCTATTCTGGACATGATGTACAATGGAATCATAATATGTGGCCTTTTGTGTCTGACTTTTTTCACTTGTCATGATGTTTTCAAGGTTCATCCACGCTGTACCATGTAACAGTACGTCACTCCTTTTTATGGCTGTTCCACTATACGGATGTCTCATTTTGTTTATCCACTTATTAACGGATGGACATTTGAGCTCTTTCCACTTTGGGCTATTATGAATAATGCTGCTGTGGACATTCATGTACCAGCTTTTGCAGGGACATAGGTTTTCATTTCTCATGGGTGTATATCTAGGCATGGAATTAACATTTGAGGAACTGCTGGACTGTTTTCCAAAACAGCTACATTATTTTACAATTCTACCAGCATAGAAAGACTTCTTTTTTTCAAAGTTTTTGTTTTAAGTATTTAAAAAAAATACAGACAACAGAAGCATCTATTTTAAAGGTCACTTTGTTTCCAAGCAGAAAACTCCAATTTTTATCAACTCGACTCCGTCTTTAAAACTTTCAGGATAGGGAGGGTGGGAGGGAGATGCAAGAGGGAGGAGATATGGGGATATATGTATATGTATGGCTGATTCACTTTGTTATAAAGCAGAAACTAACACAACATTGTAGAGAAATTATACTCCAATAAAGATGTTAAAAAAAAAACAATCTTTCAGTGACCTAGCAAAAATATATATTCTTCATCATCATTATAACCACTGCAGCTAACAGTGTTTGAGAGCCTACTATGTGCCAGCCCTAAGACAGACACTTCACATGCATTCATACAATAACCTTACAGGTGAGCATTACTCCTGTTTTAAAGACACAGAAACCGAGACTTCCATAAAGATTAAGTGATGCCAAAAGATATGAGTCAGAGAGCAAACTCAGGTGTGACACGAAAATCTGTACTGTCTTATCACATGACAATGTTTCACATCTTCTATGAATGCCACCTACCAGGCTTGAAAGGCACATACACATTCACACAATCTTGGGATTAGAGAACATACCATCAGGTCACAAAAGTGTACTTTCTGAGCTTCAAATGGTTACAAGGGAATCCTTGAGCTTAAACCTAGTTTGGGAATCTATTCATAACTATGATGACTCTAACAGCACTTAATTAAACACTCATATAACATCCCATGCATTTTCAAAACACTTATTTTTACTCATTCAGCTGTCTGCTGGGGAAGTCTCAGGAGCACTCCCGCTCTCTGGCAGGTGCGCTGAGGACAGGTGAGTGAGTCCTCACAAGGCCTGGAGGCCAGCTTCACATTAGCTCATCCCTGTGGCAGGTGCGCTGAGGACAGGTGAGTGAGTCCTCACGAGGCCTGGAGGCCAGCTTCACATTAGCTCATCCCTGTTTTAAAGGGGATTCATCCCTCCCCCACTGCCTGCCGGAAGCAAATGCAACGCTCTCCAAAAGGAAGAGGCCATATTCTAAGCCTGAAGATATCGCTTCAGTTTGGAACATACAATGTCCAGTATTCAACCAAAATAACCAGGCAAAGACAAGAATTTAAAATCAAGAGGACAAACAAGAAAAATGAACCCACAGGAATTCCAAACACTGGAGAGGAAACATTATCTTTAAAAATCTACAGTTACGTGCAAGAAATGAAAAGACGAGAGAACTGGGAAATAAAAGAATCAAAGAAAATTCTAGAACGCAAATAAAAACTGAAATTCAGAACTCAACGGGTGTACTTAACAATCAGACATCACTGAAAGAGATAATCTGTAAATCAGAAGTTAGAACAAAAGAAAATAGCCAAACCAAAGCATAGGTATTCAAAAGAATAAATATACCGAAAAGAGTACAGGAGACACACGGGACATAATGCAAAGGTCGAACACCTCTGTCATGTGAGTCCAAGAGGAGGAGGAGAGCGAGGATGGAGCAGAGGCACGACTGGGAGAGGTGGCTGATTGAGAATTTTCCAGAAAAGATAAAATACACCAACCAATACACACTTTTCCTGTTTGAGCAGTGATTTTCAAGTGAGGGCAACTCCCACCGAGGGAACGTTCGGTAATTTCTGGAGACATCGTGGTTCTCTCAGCAGGGGTAGGGAGTGTTTCGGCATCTAGAGGAGAGGCCAGGGATGCTGCTAAGCATCCTGCACTGTGCAGGACAGTCCCCACAACAAGGAATGACCTGGCCAGAATGTCAAAAATGCTAAGGTTGAGAAACCCTGCCTGAGCGTCTGTGCATCTGCTGTTCCCTTGACCAAGAATGCCCTTCTTCCAGCTTTCCACAGCTTTTCTTTTCCATCCTTCGGAAATCCGCTGGGCTCTCACCAGCTCAGGGACGCCTTCCCTCACACCCTACATCCAAAGCCGACCTTCCAAGTCCCCACCTCCGGATCCTGGGGAACACCTGTGCTCCACCGCCCAGCAGCAGACACACTGCTTCATTCCCTGTCTATATACCCAGCCAGCAGAAAAGTACCTGGAACATAGCAAGCTCTCAATTTATATTTGTTAAAGGAATGGATGAATTATTAAAAAACAAAACAAAAAATGACCTAGAAAAGCAGGCCATAGGACACCACAACTGCTGATCAATCAACAAAGTAAAGCCATTTTAAGAAATTACCTCCGAAAGAAAAGATAAAATAAAGACTAAAATGCCAAATGTCACTATAGCTCCTTTCACTTATTCTGCTTCTTCACAAATAGTTAAGATAACTTGCCTTGACAGGGAGCTTTCTCCTTTTGCTTGACAAAACATGAACACTATACACGAAGACTTTCTACACCTTCTGGAAGCCGTATCGTAAGCAAGTAAGTGAACTGAAAGCCTATTTTCTCCCTCTATTCTGGAAACTGCTCTTTTAGTCCATCTTTTCTACATTGGTTCCAGAATAGATGACCTACCATAAAATCCAACAAATCCAGAAATGTTTCTGAAATTTAACATACATATAAATAACTTAAGTCATGTCACATATAACATACATGTATCTAATATATAAAACAGGAAAACCAAGACTTATTTAGATGCCATGGAAAACGCTTATCTACAGGGACTATTACAAAACTGTTCTTACCTCCCTCTTTCTTCTTTCTTCCTGAGTACGATGTAAAAGAGAAGCCTTTTCTTCCTAAACACAAAAAAGAGAGAAAAGATAAAGGTTATAATTTCAAACTCTAAAATACTCTCATACAAAAATTATAGAATGTTGTGACCCAAAGGATTCTAGAGATCATCCAATCAAACCGTCTGACTTAGTAAGAAATCTGAGGCACAACAGGCTAAATGGTTCCCTCACCCCCACCCCCGGGGGCACAGATCTAATTGTAGTATTTCAGTTGTTTTCTAAGAATAAAATCTGATTTCCTTACACACACGTTAGTTCAGGTAAAACCCGGGAGATCTGAGTAAGGATCAGTGCATTGTATCAATGTCAATATCCTGCTTGTGAGCACATACTACAGCTTTGCAAAATACACCCCCCAGGGGAAATTAGGCAATGCAAACAACAGACCTTTCTGTATCATTTCTAACAGCTGCATGTGAGTCTACAATTATCTCAATAAAAATTTCAGTGAAAAAATCAATCTTTTATTGTTATCAAAATTTTTTTAATTCTTTTCATCGTAAGTAAAACTATATTTCGAATAAAATTACCTGATATGTAGAAGGAAGTGAAATAACAAATGGGAAAGTTAAACATTTCAAATAAAATAAAAATACTTACAGACCACCCTCCTCCCGCCCCAGAACCATTCCAGTCTATAATGTATGGGCATTTTATTTTTGTAAATTTAATCCAAAATAAAATTAAAGGCCTAAGACATCAACATATAAATAATTAGAAAAATTAATAAACCTAAATTTCTTAACACAAACATACAACTCATCAGAATAGAGTCAGAAAGTAATGAAGCCAATTTAAAATAATACTTTGATATGTGAAGGGAATACATAACGTGTAGAGCGAAGTTTCTAACTGACAAAATTTTCAGCCAAAGAAATAAATCCTCCAGATATTTTCCATTACAGAGAGTTTTATTTCTTGAACTCAAATAAAAAGTCTTTATCTATCACATGTCAAAGGTCAGAAAAGTATTTCGTTTTTAACTGATTAATTAAAAGGATGAGGAGCAATGGAAAAATCTAAAGTAAAGAGTGCTCAGAGGGCTTCCCTGGTGGCGCAGTGGGAGTCCGCCTGCCGATGCAGGGGACACAGGTTCGTGCCCCGGTCCGGGAAGATCCCACATGCCGCGGAGCGGCTGGGCCCGTGAGCCATGGCCGCTGAGCCTGCACGTCCGGAGCCTGTGCTCCAGAACGGGAGAGGCCACAGCAGTGAAAGGCCCACGTAACGCAAAAAAAAAAAAAAAAGTGCTCAGAATTATGGAAAGCTTCTAGATAAAAATACAGCCATATTTCTGGTCATTATCTTTATTTATGAATAGGAGGTAAATATATGTCTGTAATTTCTCTTCCTTCTATTCCATTTAATCAGATTTAATATATGCTCATTACTTGGTTATAGTTAAAGAGCTAAGATTTCTTAAAATGATACATGCTGTTACAACTATGAGAAAATATACTTAATGTGTGAAATTAAACCCACATTTTACTTTTAAAACAATGGTACATGCCAGCAAAGCAGTCCCCAAAGTGACTTCACACATAAGCTTGGCTGCCACTAATGTAAAAGCCCTGGGGTCTGAGGGCCTGGCCTGTCTGACCACCAGGTCCCTATCATTGGCTTCAATGTCTGCCACATGTAGGGAGTTAAGAAATATTCACAAAATGAAAAAAAAAAATAAAATAAAATAAAAAAAAAAAAAAAAAAAAAAAGAAATATTCACAAAATGAACGAATGAACATCTCCTTTAAGTACAGCAAAGTAGTCTAAAAGGAGCAACCGTAACAGCTGAAAAGCACTTCTGAATACCTGCAACACAGCACAGAGAATGAAGTATTTTAAAAATCAAAATAGGTACCAATTATCAAAAAGCATAACTGGATTCTCAGTGAATACTTGAAATCTGAAGCATACGATATGAGATGGCTATGAACGCACCAGAGGCAATGCTGAATGTGTTGAGGACGAATATCCTTACCCTTTGATGACCTATAGATTAAAATCCTTGGACAGAGGACACCATATAAATGGAAGGTCACTTCTCTTATCTGTGCTCGGGGGCTGTAAAGTTTCCTACTTAAAACAGCTCATTTCAAAAATTATAAAATAAGCACAGCAAGCAAATCCAAAGTCCTGGACACACATACAGAAACGCTTATATGTGACTTCAACTGTAGTTTAAAATGATGTGAAGGTCTTTCAAAGAGCACTCACGCTCCCTAAGATATATCGGAAAGGAGGCTGGTGGGGAGCAGAGGCCACAGAAAAAAACTGGGGTCACCCAAATGTGCCACGAGTTCAGAGGCACGGGGAGCAGCAGGGTGTGAGCGACAAAGGGCCCCGAGTGCCCAGGAAAGGCGCAGTGAGCAATCGCAAAGGCCTGGGACACAGAGGTGGCCACAGAAAGCCCGTTCAGCACAGAAGGAGAAGTGTGACAGCACTTAATCGCTGTCTATAAGTTATGCACACCATCACATGCAGCACCTGAGCTAGCAACCAAACCCCACATCAGAACTGGAGCCTCTTCCTATATTCCCCAACGCAGAGACCGTCTCTGTGCAAAGGACATTCAAACGAGGCACAGGACAGGAATTTATTCTCAACAAATATTGGCTAACTCTTGCGTCATGCTAGGCACTGGCTATTTTAAAAGTAATAAAAGTGTTTTGTTTCCAAAGAGCACACAGTCTGGTGGGAGCAGAAGAAGCCAATGAATTGAGCACCCACCATGGGCCGGACACGATTCTAGACACTAGCAATAAAGCAGAGTCAGCAGGAGCGGCCCAGCCCCTGAGAGTGCACATCTCAATACAGGTGGGCACCGGGGACGAGGCAGCGCAGAGAAGGACAGGCGCTCCGCCTCCGCGACTCAGAGAACTCTCGGAAGAAAAGGTGAATTGGAAAGAAATCTTGGAAGGCTGTGTTCAGAAGGATGACAAGATGGAAAGGCACGAGAGGGGGCGCTGGGCAGGAAGCAGGGCTGGAGGGAGAGGCTGGGCTGACCTCGAGGCCAGCATCGAGAGGGAACGGGAGACCCCCATCTCTGGTTAGGTGAGCCATATACCGAGACAGCATGGGATGGAAGGGAGAGAACGACGAAGTTAAAGCTCACTGACCTTGAGACATCTCTGGGACCGACAAGTCAGTCAACAGGTAATAAAGAACAGGGAAGAAGTATGGATTGAAAATTCAGAGTTCAAATCACCCATGACTTAAGCTTAAACTCCTTCGGTGGCTTCCCACCCTCTACCTGCACAGGGGGCTGCTACGCCTTTAAAACAAACAAAAACTGCAATATCCACTACTCATTTCCTAAAAGACCACTGGACACTAGACGGAACCATCTCTTCTCAATGCTCAATTATTTACATGAACCAAAGTTATGTAAAACCTACCACGCTGGTCTCATTTTCCTACTTCATGGTAGCCTATCTGAGACCGTAATTGGAGAACGACCAGTGTGTTCTAAGGGGTCAAGTTCAAACACAGCCTTGGTGCAGGAATATTCCGGTCAAACACCTCCTCCTCTTTCTCTTGCGCCACCAGCACGGCATGCCCCCCAACTACCCTCCAAGTCTCAAACGCCCCACCCCTCCCCAGCCTGGCCTTCCCTCCTGGCACTGACACACACCTGGCAAGCTCCCGCTCGCCTTAGGTGAGACTCAGCTTAAATGTCTTCTCTTCCATGAAGAGAAGATGACCTCCACTCCTACGCCTCCACACAATGAACAGGTGCGTTCACATTCACAGACGGGAACCCAGCACACGGGGCTGACTACTCAACATGCAGAAAGCGACTGTATCTGCACTAGTCAGAATCCTGGAGGCCACACGGGCACCATCCTCAAGGATGTGGCCACCAAATGCCGTGGAAGGTCACTCTTCAGCAGGTTACGCCACACAGGGCCAGTCGGGCTGTGGTTACTCTGAAGAAGAGCAGAAAATACGGAAACAAAACAAACCCCATCCCTTAAAACAGCAGTAATGAATGATCAAAGTATGTCAGGCCCAGCAGTCAGGTGGGAAAAATAAAGGCATAGGCCGGATCCTAACTCGCAATTCTGAGTGCCTACACATGGCTCGAACCAGTAAATAACTATAAACTTCTCAAAGTGAAATTTCACCAGGCTGCTAAAAGAGCAAAACAACAAACCCACCACAGTGCACAATGGGAGTCAGCATCCAGGAACTCACCCTAGCTGTGTGGACCAGGGCTAGAGAAGCAGTCCATCCCTGGCGCCCACGCCTGCCTCATCAGAACAAGCACTCCAGGGCTTCCCTGGTGGCGCAGCGGTTAAGAATCCGCCTGCCAATGCAGGGGACACGGGTTCGAGCCCTGGTCTAGGAAGATCCCACGTGCCGCGGAGCAACTAAGCCCGTGCACCACAACTACTGAGCCTGCGCTCTAGAGCCCAGGTGCCACAACTACTGAAGCCCGCGCTCCTAGAGTCCGTGCTCCGCAACAAGAGAAGCCACTGCAATGAGAAGCCCGCACACCGCAATGAAGAGGAGACCCCTCTCGCCGCAACTAGAGAAAGCCCGCAAGCAGCAGCAAAGACCCAACGCAGCCAAAAGAAAATAAAAATAATAATAAAAAAGAACAAGCACTCCAGGGAAGCCACAGACTCGATGTCCTAGCTCGATCTTTCTATTGGGTGTTGAAATAAATACTACGATGGGACTTAGCTGGTGGCGCAGTGGTTAAAAATCCACCTGCCAATGCAGGGAACACGGGTTCAAGCCCTGGTCCGGGAAGATCCCACATGGTGCGGAGCAACTAAGCCCATGAACCACAGCTACTGAGCCTGCGCTCTAGAGCCCATGGGCCACAACTACTGAGCCTGCGTGCCACAACTACTGAACCCTCGCACCTAGAGCTCCACAATGAGAAGCCCACACACAGTGCAACAAAGAGTAGCCCCCGCTCATGGCAACTAGAGAAAGCCCGTGCGCAGCAACGAAGACCCAACGCAGCCATAAATAAACAAACAAATAAATAAAACTGC